TCCACCAAGTTTCTATATAACTTGTAGATGCCATGTAGCTTGTTATTAAGTATAATCTCCATTTTAGATGGTTTGGGTGTAGCAGACTTGAGTGGTCACTTCTCTAATTCAATTATAATTGCAAGTCACTGTATCACCATTCATTTTTCATTCTGATCAACATTACGAAGGCCCAAAACAGTAAAAGAATTCTCATTCAAAAGAATAATGACCAGTTAAATGGCTGTTTCTGTGTTTCTATATTACATTTTCAGCAACAGATGAGGCTTATTAGGGAGCTGGGCTAGAGGTTATTGTTATTTTCCTTTCAATAGTCATTCTGCAGAATAGGGGTAAAACCAAAGTATTTTATCGTAATAACAATTTTGCCAAAATGGCCACATTGTGATCTGTATTTGTGCATATTAAAGCAACCAATTCTCAACTGCCCTACCCATTAAAGTGCATTTGTATTTAAATGTATTCAAATGGGGAAAGTCCCACTGTTTTACTGACAAAATTGTCTATCAAATGATTTTTGATGGATGTTTAAATAATGCATCCCTGTGAGGACAGCCTGTGAGATTAGGCCAAAGTTTCTCCCTCTTTCGACTGAGAGCACGTGTGATGAGTTTGTGAATCAGCTTCTTGTCAGAATCATCTAAGGGATCATTTACTGCTGTTATCAAATCTGTTTTTTCTCATTTAAGGAGAAATGAAGACAGATGAGGAACAGGAGGAAGGAGAAGGCCTCTCAATCCCCCAGTTGGGAAGCACAGCTAATAGGTTGATGGAAGGCTATGAATTATACATGATTTCACAGAAAAGCCTGTTTTGGATGATTTTAAGGTCCATTACTGCACATCTATCTGCCGCCTCTGCGCTTCAGTGATCCAGGGAAAGACCGAGTCAAAGTAGTTTAGAGGCAGATTGAACAATTTCTCTTGTCAAGTGTTGTTTATTCACAGACGCAGCATGATGAAGATTTACTCTTTGCAGATTGCTGTAAACATTTGTATTTGTGGTCAGTTTAATGACATAATAAGACAGTTCTTATCTTCTGTTTATGTAGAATGAACTGAGTTTACTTCTCAGAGTTTTCTCCCAAAATGAAAAACTGTCTGTGGGAGATCTGTATCCTCTTTATGAATGATACTTATCAAATGATTGCTGCTGGCATGGGAATTAATTTTACACTTTATAAAGTAATAATGTGTTGGATTTCCTCACTAAATATCCATTTTGTAACTCTATGTTGTCAATTACTATAACAATAGTCATTCAAGTTATGCACAGCTTATAAATTGTTTTGATGAAATGCCTGCTGGGATAACTCTTTTCCTGGAAACATCTTCTTCCTGCCTCCTAGAAATTACTTTTATGTACTGCTTATTTGCAACAGCAAATATGTTTTTATTGAAACGTAATGCATGAAAACATTTATAATATTAACTGACAATGGCGAAGGACATAGAAGTAAACGTTTTGGTGGATGGTAATTTAATATATCATAATTGTAGTTATATAGTTTTAGTTATATAGTTTGTCTGAGGAATAGATTTTTCAATGTGCCTTTGCCTTTCCTGTGTTGCATTACCTGCTGCTAAATTGTTTGACGTTGCCATCACACAGCAGCAGCAGCAGTGTTCTCACAACTTACCACTTGAAAGCCAAGCACATCATGTACTTGACTTCCCGTATCCCACAAGCTCATGATATTCCTTTTGAAGGCAGCATATGTCAACCATCCTGGTGATCCAGTCCAACACGTTCTCATCTTAGGGGGTCAATTACCGCTTTCAGAAAGCTTGACCAAGTGTAGTTATTTGACACAAAAGGTACCCTTCAGCATATGTATGAAGTGCCACAGTTTGCTAGTGAATAAATTGGTGGGGGTCATGCGCAGCAACACAAAGTAGGCTAACCCTAAGCCATTTTGGTAATAGCTACGCTGACGACTTAGAGGAAAAGAGTGGGTCACCCTATGTTGCACTTGGCTTGGGTCAACAGACAAAATACACCTCAGAGTTTTTGCTTATTGACTTAACTGACCTCTGACCTGCAAGGAAATGAATATGACCCAATTTTGAGCAACATACTTGGTTTTTGCACAAAATGTATTGTTGGAAAAGACAACAACAAGAATCTATGTGATTGTGTACAAGTCCCTTTTAACTTGTTAATTCTTATCATAAAATACATCAGGTTCCATAAATCTAAATGATAAAGCGTTCAAAGAAATCTTGCTATATTAGATAATCAAAACATATTAACAATACATTGGTGATTAGTGTGACAAAACCTCATGGGCAAATAATGAATTAAAGCTGAAAACCTGTTAATAAAACATATTAAGTTAATTTGGACAAGATGAGGCCATTAACCCCCATGCAGCAGGCGTGCATAAGCCTCAGACATACAACACTCATAAGCCTCAGACATACAACACTCAGGAGGAACATAAGGTATCATCTGTAGCTATCTTAACAGCGGCCTCAAAGTCAATAAGGGGTTGTTGGAAATTACTTCCAGCTCCAGCACACTACTCGGTGTATGGTGACAGCTTTTACTTCATCTCGAGGTGTCTCGTCGGTCCCCATGCAAATAAAGCCTGAAATAACAAACATACTAAGCTGTCAGTGTTAAAAGTTAATCAGAATTTAATGAACTAACTGTCATTTCTGGTTGTTAAGAGGATTTGGGATTATTGAGGAAAGTGCTAGAACAATACAGAAATAAATTACCTTGCAGGTAGAATGACAGTTTGGGTTTAATAAAGTAAAGGCCAGGGGGTGTAATGTATCATTTTCTCTTTGTGTATCCAGATTAATTCAAAAACATTACAGCAGGGATGCATATAAGTAGCCTTTACATGGGATAGTGAAGCAACAGTACAATCATTTTTAATTTGAAAATTAAATAGTACATTTTGGGACGCTTATTCGCTTTCTTGCAGAAAGTTAGATCAGAAGATTGATACCACACTCAGATCTGTCCGTTAAATTTAAGGTTACAGTCAGAAGCACCTCTAAAGCTCTCTAATATGTAATGTCATTGTTGTTTCTTCTGTATAAAAAGTGTTAGCAATTAGCTGTTTTAAGAGGGTTATGTTATAGACTATTTCTTGGCCAGAACCAGTAACTTCCTGAAGTCTCTGCTGTTTTGGTCATTTTTCCACTTTGGTTATTGAAAACACATGAGATATAGCGTGCCAATAAATGAGCTTAAGAGGTGCCAGAAGGTAGATTTTGTTACCATTTGAAAGAGCCAGGATATTTGTTTCTTTTTTGTTTGAAGCCTAAGCTAAACTAAGCTAAACTAAGCTAACAAGCTGCTGGTTGTAGCTTCATATTTAATGGACAGATAGAGTGGTGTCAGTCTTCTCATCTGACATTCACCTGAAGAAACAAAAAATCTGAACATCTTAATTGCAAAATTAATAAATAAAAGCCTTTCCCTGAATCTAATTCCTGGATCCCTTCATTATTTGGGTTGATTAGCACTTTACTGTGTAATGCCACTCTGTGGAGCTCTATATTAGCTTGCAGGCATATTTACCTCATTGGGGGACCCGGCAGTAGAAATCCTCCTCACATTTAACTTTATGAAAAACAAAAGCAGCTTGATTAAAATGCCATCCTTCACTCTGGCTTGTCAGATGTTCAGATGTCGTCTCGGGCTGCAGGCTGTGGCTGAACTTTTAACTTCATTTTAATCCATGAATACATGTCTACAACATTTTCACTACATTTTTCTCAGGACCACTGGATGCTACCTAGAAATGTGTGTTGATCTTAAGAATTTTATGATTATGATTGGTGTTTCGTAGTTGTTTCATTTGGGTCTTTGGTCTATGGGCTGGAAATCATGTCAGATCTTTTTGACGTGATCCAGCTTTGCCCTCACCTCACTGCAATGTGGATAGCAAAAGCTAAACATAGTATATTTTTTTGCTGACAAGACCTCTAAACAGTTGAGCCATTTCAATTGTCTGTGTTTCATCCTCTCTGCTAATGGATCCATGCTCTTCTGTTTCCTATAAACATTTCACTGTTCTCTATACTCTTTGAACTACTCTCTTCTTTGCCCATTTTTCCACCCTATAGAGTTGGAAAGGACTTTTGTAGTATACCAATAAAGGGGCTTTCCTTGAAATGCTTTAATCACCCGTCATTCAGAAAATTTCAAAAAATGTCTTTAAGTGTAAGTGATTTTGTTGTTCCTTCATGTTTCAAATTTGCTATAGGAAGCTGTGCCAAAGAATAAATTGTAAACACAATATGTTGGGATAACAGCATTTCATCAAACATTGGTGCAAATACATATTAATGTGCACAATATGAGCTGTAAACAGCCTAAGCAAAGTCATTTCTTTGTCATGTCTTTAAAACCTTAAGGACTCTGGAGCTTTACTCCTGTGGACATCTTTTAGCCATTACAACTGATTAAACTGCTATTACAAAATGAGCTGGTAGCTGATGCAAGGGACCTGAATTAGCTTATGCAGCACCTTCTATGATTGCAACTTACCTGGAGTAACAGAGGAACACTTTTGACTGTGCAATAGTTTTCTCTCTGTGTTTAGGTGAAAAAAAGGTTTTCCTAGGGTAATATAAGTTCCTTGCAATTGTGAAACAGGTGGATGTTGTGATGTCCTAATTGTGTTCCTTTTTATTCCTACACAGAGACACAAAATAACTATGGAGACACAAAAAAACTACAATAAGACACAAAATAACAACAAAGACACGTGAAAAAAGACTACACAGAGACAGAAAATTTAGACAAGATGAGGCCATTAACCCCCAATAGACACCAAAGACTACAGAGGGACACAAAAAGGCTGCAAATAGATATAGAATAACTACAAAGAGACTTCAAATAGTCTGTGTCTGAACTACTGTACATAGCATCCACATCATCTGTAATCAGTCAAGGGGTCTTAAGAGTGTTAGGGGGCCTTTTATATGTCTGTGCCCAGGGGCCCGTTGTCTCATAATAAATCAATGCTTTCTGTGCAGATACACTAAAATGAAGACGGCCACCAACATCTACATCTTCAACCTTGCGCTGGCCGACGCCTTGGTCACCAGCACGTTACCATTCCAGAGCGTCAATTACCTGATGGGTACCTGGCCGTTTGGGGATGTGCTGTGCAAGATGGTGATGTCCATCGACTACTACAACATGTTCACCTCCATCTTTACGCTCACCACCATGAGCATCGATCGCTACGTTGCTGTGTGCCACCCAGTCAAAGCACTGGACTTCAGGACACCGCACAATGCCAAGATAGTCAACGTCTGTAACTGGATTCTGTCCTCAGCCATCGGGCTACCTGTCATGTTCATGGCTTCCACTGCTGTCACTCGTAAGCATGCGCACACACTTGCAGTTATTCAAATAAACATTCAGAATGTGATACATAATGGGACATTTTTATGCTTTGGGAGAACCACAAAAAATAAAGCATAGATCTCCTGAAAATATCCTTGAAGATAATCACAAACATTTTCGACAAACATTTTTATCCAACGGAAAATAACTGAACAGAGAAAATGACTACCACCAACATAGTTCAGTAGCAACTGAACTTGGAAGCACAAAAGAGCCAGAAAACCTATTCAGTTCATACTCTGCAGTCCAGCTTTTAAGAGGAATTATGTTCTCCAGCAGGCTCTATAAAAAGAGACAAGCCAGAACAGTTGTTTAGGTTGTTCTGTGTAATTGCACAAAATAACTATTTAATATGCCTGGATGGTGACTAATATGTGTCTGCATAATCAAGGCGCTATCTGCAAATACAGGCTTCTCTGACAGGATTTCTTTTTGTAATTGCACTGGTAATGGAGAGAAAACTGCGACTGAAATTGCTGAAGTGTAATGGAGGAGATACAGTAATGAAAAACTCCACTAAATGTAGTTTTCAGTGAAGAGACTGTAAAAGATAGATATATTAGATTTACCCGTAAATAATATTATTATACTTGTATAGCATTGCATTTGGCTGCATTGTGTACAACCAGATTAAGATTGGTCCCCCTGGTTGCGTGTCCTTGGGCAAGATACCCGATTTGCCCCTGGCGGCTGTTCCGCCAGTGTATGAATGAGTGTGAATGCTAGTTTCTGTTTGAGCACTTAGGCTCAGTGTATGAATGTGTATGACTGGTGAATGTAGATGTAGTGTAAAAAGCGCTTTGAGTGGTCGAAAAGACTAGAAAGGCGCTATACAAGTACGGAGCATTTACATTAAACGAACACTTTTAGAGGAAGGAAGCACAGCTGTTTAAAAAGGGTTAGACAAGATAAGAGGATAAAAATCGCTTGTGTGCGAATACATGAACATACAGTATACGTGTGCATGTGTGTCTTCTCACCCTGCACAGCCTCCAGCATTGTTGACTGCAAGCTGATTTTCCCGCAACCCTTCTGGTACTGGGAAACCCTGCTGAAGATCTGCGTGTTCATTTTTGCCTTCATCATGCCTGTCCTGATCATCACCGTCTGCTACGGCCTCATGATTCTGCGGCTTAAGAGTGTGCGCATGCTGTCCGGCTCCCAGGTTAAGAAAAATAAAAACATTTCTTAGTGGGATATTTTTAATAAGATGCAAATGTTAATTTTAGAATGCAAGCATTAGTGAGCATTTAGCGAAATTTGAAAGACTTGGGTCAGCCAACTACACGGCCAATGCTATTTCCTGAACAACTAATTGTATTATTTTTTTTCAGAGTAATGAAGCAAAATAAAAAGGCTGCACAGAGCATGCATGCAAATATGGTGCACTCACTGCTCCCCAGAGTGCAAATTTACTTCAGCCTGAGGTTTTGATTAATTGCATTTGAAGGTGAAATGACCCAACAACAATAATTTAACACTCAGTACTTGAGAAAATTTACCAAACACCGGCTGCAAAACATGTGCACATTCTAATGAGGATGTATTTATCCTACACATCCACCAATGTGTCCCAGAGCAAGAACTTAACGCCTAGTTGCTCCAGAGGGGTGGGACCCCTGACATATATAGATATTGTAAGTTGCTTTGGATAAAAGTGTCAGCTAAATAAGTAAATGTAAATGGTATTGTATTCACATGTGATACAAAGTGAATATCAAATTGGTAGTCAATGTGATTTGATACTCTCTCTTCCTTTCCATCAACTTTTTGCTCTGCCTATTGATTCTCTCCCCCTTTACTTCTCCTCTTTCCCCCTCTCTAACCATCTTCCATCCATACATTCTCTTAATTCATTGGTGCTTTTCCCCACCTTCTCCACCTGCCTCTCTTATCCTCCACTCTCCTCTGTCCTTCCTCCATCATTATTATTTTCTACAACACTCATCTTGTACTCCCACTTATCTCCAATGCTAAACCTTCCAACACTCACTCACACACAGGAGAAGGACAGGAACCTGCGACGGATCACCCGCATGGTCCTGGTGGTGGTTGCTGTCTTCATCGTATGCTGGACGCCTATCCACATCTTTGTAATCATCACTGCTCTGATCAATATCCCCAGCTCCACCCTTCAGACTATCACCTGGCACTTCTGCATCGCCCTAGGCTACACCAACAGGTACACACCCAGCAGTTGCTTGTGGCTTGATAAAGCCTGACAAATAAATCCATTCTTGTAAACAACAAAATATGTATCTCAAAGAAGATTTATCAATGAAATGTAACAGGTTGGTTAGTACTATTTTAGGTGGAAAGACTGTTAAGTGTAGATAACAGGATGCTTATAAGAAAACTTGTGTTTATGGTGCTGACTTTTTGATATGATATATATGTATCCTGACTGTGTGTCAGGATACATATAACTTAGATTGACTATAGTTGTCACACACCCCTCATTATACAGTGTTCAAAGGGGAAAGTGAAGTTGTTAAGTGTATGGGGAATCTTATTTTCTAGTGTTAAACTGAACTTTTTGCCTCCTGCAGTAGTCTGAACCCGGTTCTTTATGGCTACCTGGATGAGAACTTCAAGCGTTGCTTCCGTGAGTTCTGCACCCCAAGTCCCTCTGTGTTGGAGATGCAGAACTCATCCCGCACCGGAGCCACTAGCCGCAAGCTCCCACACCGTGAACACCACAGTGCAAACACAGGAGAAAGGTCCAATCAACAGGTACAAATTGTCTGTGTTAATACATACTAGTAAATGTATCTGCTTAAAGGAGTAGTTCAACATTTTGGTAAATATGCTTATTTGCGTTCTTCAAAACCTTAGATGAGAAGATTGATAGTGTCTGTGCCAAATCCGTACCACCTGCCAGATCCTTTCTGCACATGCGCAAAAGTGGTTCGGTCAGTCCAAGAAGGTTACCACAAATCTGCCTAATCACTGGAGATTAAACTATTCACTATGATGTAATAGGAATATATTTAAGATATGAAAAACCTTATTCCATCCATCCATCGTCAACCGCTTATCCTGCGTACAAGGTCGCTGGGAGCTGAGCGTTTGGGGAAGAGGGGTATCAGTCTTCTCATCTAACTCTTGACAAGAAAACTAATAAATGTTAACATTCATGCAAGGGTATGAATATACTGTATACAAATAAAATAAAATAATCATACTTCCACCTCTCCCAATTAATCTCTCTGCAGGTATGACTAGCCTTGGAGGGGTCGTCGGTGGACTCTCGCTGTGGCGGCATTGCCAACGACGATCTCAACTCGGAGGTCACGCAGGTCACCACAGGGCTCTGACCACACAAACTTACCCGAAAACAATCCAGTGACCTTACTGAGACTCAATAACACAGACAATATTGATGATGTGTTGCAAGCTTAACTGCAGCGCTGCATCAGGTCAGCCCTTTCAGTCTAACTATTACGAACTGCATGTGCTTACTTTTACTGCAGCCGACACAGTAATGGGACAGGTTACACTAAACAGAAAATCAGGCATCATTACAATACCATAGCCCCCAAAGTGAAGTTGTTGCACTAAATTGTGCATTAACCATTACAGCTTTAAAAAATTATCTAGTTTTCGCTACTATTGTTATTACTTTGACAATTTAGACTACACAGACTGAATAAGTGCAGCAAAAAAGACAGACGTATAGACAGATCTATAAAAGCCACTAACACAAGACACTAATATAATGCTTTGTTCTGTCTGCTCTGTACAAAGCTGCTGATCTCAGCCTCCTCTCCTAACTCTCATCTTATCGTTAATTCTCTAGGTTGTAAAAAAGATCAATTAATTGTCTTATGTTTGCAGAGTTCATATGACTTCAAGCCAATCTATCACTTCTCTTCCGGTTTTCTTTTTTAATTTGTTTGCATGTGTGAGAGGACAGTTTAAATTGCAGGAAATGTGGATTTATGGCAGTTAATGGACAGGATCTAATCACATTTTGGCTCTCACTACTGAATGCCCTTTATTATGTACTGCCTTCTCTGTCTTCATTATTTCCTTTCCTTCTTATATTGTTTTTATTTTGTCTCTGTAAATACATTTTCTACCCCGTTGCTTGACTTATCATTAAAGAGACACAAAGTAGAGCACTGTATGTTCTTCCTGCTGAATTTGACAAACTTCTGAATGTACAGAAGGGAAACCAGCTGTGTTCATGCTGGATCCTTGTGCTGAAATGTGGATCCTCTAAACCAGCAAAGAAGACGCATCAGCAGAGTATGCTGTTGTGGAATATAGTGTGGTATGGTACTACTGTTCCTACCAGTGACTGAATAACTATCTTAACAGCCCTTACAGCAGGTATGGGATTAAATGGAGTCACTTCTCCAAGAGAGCCAAGCAGCATCGTACATCTGTTGTAATCTTTAGAATCGCTTGTGCTTACGTGTTGTGCTGTATGCTATACTTGCCAGTTGCCTTTACAGTAGCTCTACTCGATATTCTGTGTACCAGTATTTTTTAATGATCTGTAAAGAAAGAACATGATTGTATTAATCACCCATGTAAAATCCTGTAAGTATTCTGTTGCTTTTTTATGAACATCAAAATTACCAGAAAATGATGATGAAGGTGGACCAGAAAGTCAAATATAACTTCTAAATGTAACTTTTGTCATATTGAATCTGCCTTGTTAACTGAAGAAATGTATGTTAACAAATATGTGTAAAACCTTAAATTGTGAATTCAAAAATGTATGCAGAGTTTAACTTTATAGATTGTTTCATACGAAAGTAGTTTGTTTTGACTGAAAACGTATGTGTCACAATGCCACGCTGTATATACAGTCAATTAGTCAATTATTTTTGGTGTCACTGCTTTGAGTGAAATTTGAACGAAAATTTTGTTGATTGATTTCCAGTCTTTTATGTCACCATGTGGCCCAATTGTCTAAATCTTAATTATCACAAAAACAACAGCTAAATTTGGTGGTCTCAAGTGTCACATGCTTTATTTAAAGCACAAAGTGTACAATAGGCCTATGCTTCATCTCATGAAAAACATCATGTGCACAAAACAAATATTGAGGATCCAGTTGTCACCTTTGTATGCTATGTAATGCATTTCAGGAATGAAGACAAGGAATAAACTATTTGGCACATGTGTGACTCAACACTGTTTCCTAACAAACAAGAAGGTCCTTTGTTTGAACCCGACTTAACGTGCTCACTACATTAATGTTTTCTCGGGGTGCTCTATTTCCTCCCACATTCTTAAGAAATGTAGGTTTACTGATTTGGAAACTTGGAAAAAGTGCCCATTCTGTGAGACTGAATAATCATTAGCATGCCTGGCTACCTAGCTTATTACAGTAGCGACTGATAGTTACTTGCAAGGCCAAGGGGTGGATTGGATTGGATTTGGGGGAGTTTGTGCTTCAGCAACTCCAGCCAATGTTACCACAGATAGCATTACATCAAACCAAACACTTCGACTAGTCCTTATTTTAAATGCCTATTCTCTATTAAAATTAAAAGAGAAACCATACTGTTACGTCTATATCTGAAAAGTCTACTTATCAAAGTAACTAAACTGCTTTTGCCCATCATATAAATACTAGGAGCAAATTAGTCCTAGAATGAGCCAGCTGGAAACACCAAAAGGTGAACTAGAGTGTTTTTAACCAACTCATGGAGCTAACATTAGCTTAATTTGCTAGTTAGCTACAGCTGATAAAATCTGACAGCAATGCTTGTCATTTCAGCTGTAGCCACTAGATATGAGAAGACTGCTTTTGTCTACGTCTGTCTGAAATCAAATAAACATAAATTAGAAATTTACCACACAAAACTTTACAGGCATAGCAACAGTAACTAAAGCGTTAATGCTATTAATATTTATTCAAGAAAATAAACATAACACACTGGCATAAAACAGTTAACATTTGGCAATAAAAATGTTTTGCCTGATGAAAGTCTAGCACAGAAATGTTGCAAATCAATGTAGTATCGTATAGCAAGTTAAATAGTGTGCTGGAGTTTGTTATCAACTTTTGATCCACTTGTCTCTCTCCTGTCTCATGAAATAGATGTGCAAAGCGTTTGTTCATTAATTTTACGTGCACCAACAACTGTCTCTCTAAGGGGGAAACTCCCCAGCAACAAGCATTTGTATCTTTTTAAGTACAAACATGTACTTCTATTTCTATTTCTATTTCTATATACATGGCGTTTCTTTTTATCATTTGCTTGTTTACATGACTGAGTCAATCATGACCTACTTTGTATTCTAGTTTTGAAATGACCTTTCTTGTAATCTAATGTACTGATGATAATTTCCACCTTATGGTTTACATTCTGTTACACAATACACATAATTTTACTGTTAATCAGTGCATTGTCATTGGAATAAAATGTAATTCTGAATCTCATTGAATGCCTTTTTTCTTGCATCTGAATAAAGTAATCTTCTGCATTGTGGCCTGTCAATTTTTCAAATACAAGTACGTCTTCCATTCTCAGCCTGAAACACAACACAGCTTTTCTACTCTTTACTCTCAAGAGATGCGGGGTAGCCTACAAATAAGCAATAAAAATGAATTATGAGTAAATTTGCATTATGATTTCAAAATATGTCTTGTAGAGCTGGCGCAGACATAACTCAAATCCAGCAAATGACAGTATGAGGCAAGAGCTTTTCCCGCATCAATCACTTGTTTTCTCCAAGAACAATAATTTATAACTATATGATTGCTGTAATGTAAAAATGTATTATTGTGACATTAGATGAGCTCCATATTTCATCCATAAAATGCTGTGTCAGCTAAGTGTATGTGTACTTGGCTGTGGATTGAAATGACACAGTGCAAATGTTGTCTCGTCATTGCAGTAAACGCACAGGTGTAACTAATAACGTTAACAATTGCTCTATTCCAATTTAACTATCCCAGTGTGCCATACCAGTGAGCCAGCATACACAACACAGGTGGACTCTGGAACTAGTACACCAAAATGTGTACTTACCCCTGTATTTGACAAGACAAATGCCAACCATCTATTTGAGATAGGTGTATTGATTTCTGATGCAATTGATTTTTTCCTTGGCACTCTGCCTCATGGGAAATCTCTTGAAAACCGCTGAAAACTCAAGTGGACTCAAGTGTAAGATTGACAGGTCAAGGGCTGACGGAGCGAGAGAGCAAACAGTACACTCAAAGGGTGTATGGTAGTCTTCTATAATTCTGTCTGCACAACACATGATGCAATTTGAAATATTATACTGTTTGAGTAATTCTACATGTCATCCCATTAAATGTAATGGTAATGCTAATGTTTATGTTAAAGTGAGCTATCTGCTATCTTTTTTATTTATTCCTCCTTATTCTAATATTTGATTGATTTGATATCTAATATCAAGTGTTAATCTCAATTATTAAGCCTGCTTAAGAACAGGTGCATTTCATTATCAGTCCTGCTCCTCTTTGACCCCTCTCTCAGCAAGTGGCCACTCACTTGACATATGGCGTTTTGTATTACCAAGTGTTGAGGGGGAAGAGAAAGAGGGCATTAAAACGGACTGAAACCTGTTACCACACCACACACTCACAGACTCTACTGAGGAAAGTTTGAGCTGTTGGTGGCAGAATCTCAATTGTCAACCCAGACAATCTGCAAGATTACCGTGGATTCAGTGTAGAAAAGTGTGTTTGCATATAGTGCGCAAGTGCTTACGCTGGTGCGTGGGTGCGTTTGTGTCTTACATGTCTTCGTACATGCCTTCAACTCTATCTTGTGTTGTTTGGGTTGTCGAGGAGCCAGGCATTATCTTACTGGGGTTGGCAGCATGATTAGTCCTGTCATAGCGATTATTGTCAAGCAGCGTTGAATGTCCCCTCTGCCTGTGGAGATAGCGCTACATTCAGACATGATGTTGTGGTTGTGGAGCCGCCCTATTATGTAAGGAAAGCTAATCAACCAAACCCTTGTTAAATGACCTGATATTTCAAAGGCCAATTCTTTGTCTTGACGAGGAAAAATCAGGGTCCATATGAGGAAACAGGAGGACATATTGTCATTCAGAAATGTGATACAATGGCCCATTTTTTCACCTGTATGGAACCTTAATGTTTTTTTTGCATGTAAGGAATTGCCAATTGCAAATGTGCACGTGTGTTTTCTCTAAATTTGACATATCTGATATGGCCAATCATCTTATTCTATATTACATGTAAACAATTATCCTGTTTTTAAAAGGTTTCATAAAGTCTGAGGCATATCACAGTATTTGCAACATTAATGGCCTAAATAATGAGGGTCATTAGCCAAAGGCCAGGGTTTTGTTTTATCTTTGCCACTACTACAAGCAGCACAGCTCATAACCAAATCCTCAAGTAAACAGGCTCTTGACTGATCATAGCATGTGATTAATGGAGAGAATAATGAGTTTTTAACAGCAAATACACATAAATCCTTTATGAAACTCCAAACAGCAGGCGCAAGAAGGAGGGAGATTGTGTTCAGAGCCGTGCCAAATCCGATTTGCCAAATTTAAGTCCTCCAGGCCTTGATACCCCAGCAACTCACCACTGTCATAGAGCAGTAGTTTCCTCAGGCTATTTCACACCTAGATGAATGGAAAACCGGCAGGGGAACATTGCCTATTGCTGATGTGGTTCTGTAAAGTACATCGGGGGTGGTGAAAGGCGGACGCTGGAGAGTGACAGGGAAATTAAAGTCATGGATTGTGAGAAAACAGACAGGAGTAAGCCAGTTGGTCGAGCTAATGTATCAGTAAGCAAATGAGTGGGACAGACCACTTTGGCCTGTAAAGCTGACATCCACCTCATTACATCCACCGATGTGCCAGCCATCCAGCAAAAGACGGCAGTTGTGACAGCTGACCAATGAGCTGCCATAGTTTGTCCATCGACCAGCCGGCCGTCCCTGTAACAACCCTACAGGGTGCAGTTTGTTTTACTTCACTCTACAAACCTCCGACGCCTGGTGGTTGGGAATGGGCTCCGTCTTAGGTAGTTGTGTTAAATCACTGGAAATTTTGCTGACTTTATTTTTTACAAGGCTATCACTCAGCAGGACCGTAGGGCACAGGAGCCATCCAGTCAGGCAATATTCCCATCCATCCACCTGATTTCATTACTCTTTCCTCCTGCTAGTGCTTTGCTTTGCAGTTCGCAGGTCTGCTCACTAAAAGACTGAGTTTGATTATTAGGCCCCTGTGACTATTATTTTACCATAGGTGTAGCTCTGCAAGTGAGATAAAACTACATTTATATGGTATCTGGCAGAGTGCAAAAACAAAAAAAACTACAGGAAAAGAATATATACCTACTGAATCTATACTCCTGTGCCTCACACATAAAGATATATAGACACACACACAGGGCTGCATGAGTGAACCTTGAATGCATTACATGAACTTGTGTCCTTTTCTGCCAGAGCTGACACTTTTAGGAGTTACACACCTGAGTACCTTACTTAAGAGCTACTTTATAAAGTGCATTGTACAGAGTATAGTTGTATATAATAGCATCAATGAAGAAGAGAGCCACATTCCAGTGATAATGTCTTCTGTGGTATGTTTTAACGTTCTGTATAAATGGAAACTGTACTGAAACTGTACTGAAAATAGCATGTGTTTTTGAAGCTTGGCCAATAGTCAGGATATCGCTGATGCTTCAGTTTTCACTATTCTTATTGTAACCTGTATCTTTCACAGATTTATGGAAGTTAAATTCTAATTTTGTGGTTTCCTAAGATGCCTGGAATTTAAAAAAAATCTTAACAGAGACAAAATATCATCTTTGTGTTGACTTTATAAGCACTTGTTTATTTCCAGATAAATTTCCTTGAAACACCTAATGAAAACCCAAGTAAAGGTTCATTAATAACTAATTTATTACTGAAAACATCATCTTCCATTTATGTTAAATGTTGTTCTTGTCTGTGCACAAATTGTTTCATGTCCAGTTGACCTGCTGCTCACTTGACAGTAATGAATTACTTGGAAGAACCAAACACTCTCCATTTTCCCAATAATTAGCACCAAATTACATTGTCATTTCCTGGAACGTTACTATGAATTTAAGTTACAGTCAGTTTATTTTATTTTTAGTTTAGTTTATTTCTAGGAAATTGTAAGAAACTACGGGACTTTCTCTAATCCCCAATATTTTTATAAAACCCGTCTCTCGTCCGTTTCAGCAACTGATACTCTCTCTTAAGTAGGGCCACAATCAGTTTCTGTCCTCTTACAACACTACATGGTTTAACAGTGTGTTCTTTTTAGCAGTATCTCGACAGTGTCCACTAGGTAATTAAAATGTAGTGTTGTGCAAACTGTTAAATATTGAGATACGGAGTGCTACAATCTGAAGTATAATGGAAACTCAAGAAAATGCCTGTTTTTCTGTAATTCTCATGATCAAACACACACATGGAGATAATGGAAATGAGTAGCATAATGAAATAGGCTGTTAACAACACATCTCTTTCTTCCCCCCTTCTATCTAATTTCTCCTCCTTCACATGAAAAGACTAATGACATGCATTCTCATACTGATGCAAAGTCCAGTGTCATCCCTCAAACAACACTGAAGTCCTTACTTTACACACAAAGATTGAATGCGCTGCACTATACCACAAGCATAAAAGGAATGGAAGCTAATCAAGGTTCACAACATCCTCTGGGCACCCTCGCTTTATTTCTCTTTGATGAAATAAGAACAGTATACAATGAGGACGTCATATGGCTTTGACTTCACACCCAGTGGTTTCTGCCAAGATCTCGGTCCCTGTTGATCTCCGTGGTGAAATGTGATAAATGGAGCTTCCTCACTTATTGCCGTTATCCTGCATAATAAATTGGTCTGATCGGGTAAAGAGCGATACAGACAATCAACAACCAGGAACAGCAGTCCTTATGGGATTTAATTGAATAGAGTTCAATCACACATGAAGGTGAAGCTCAATGAAGTGATCTTAAATCATGATTGATGCTTTTTCTATGCCTACACCTCTTACAAAGACCAAGCACACAGCATGTGAAATTAACCTGACAGCATTGTTTTACTTTATTCTATTTCTTTTATGGAGCTCCATTATCACAGCAAAATTCTCTCTGGATTCCTTGTTTTTTTTTTACATTTATCACAGGCTGACACATAAAAACAGGTACAGTACCCCCCACTTCTATGGTTAACTCAGCCCCTTTCCCACATACCTTAACTTGAATGCTTGGGCAATTTTCTCCTTGTGGGAACAGAGGCCAAATTCAATTTTCTATGTACAAATTGCCAGAACAAGATCTAGAAAATAAGCTGTAATCTTTCATTGTGGCTCTAGTGGGAACAAAAGCAGTAACAATTCTGGTTAAAGGCAGCAAAAAGTAAGAGGGGTTTACATAGCCAGCTAGATGACCATATCTCTGCTGAGGACAGCACTAATAGCTATTACTATGACTATTGCCCTCTGCTCTCTCTATATCTTCACTGCTGTTTCTTAATATATATATATAAAAAAAGAGTTGACTCAGCTCCACAAGCAACATAAAAAACTTGAAATTGGAAAAGAAAATAACCTCAAAACTCAGGTAATTATCCAAAGTGCAAAGTGTTCATATCAAGGGACAGGAGTTGGAAATAAGCTTTGGCTTTAAAACCATATTCAACACATGCTATTGCAACATTTACCTTCATATAACTGTTACACATTTAAGTAAGATGAAGAATTCTACCCAAAATTAAAACACCAGTAGAAATATTATTAAAAGTGCCACAGTAAAAATTCACTTCAATCATCGATTTCAAAAAGCTTAGGCTATTGGATAAAATGAGAGGAATCATCTTTGGAAAGGACACAGCCAGTTTGTGATATTTATCAGTGGAGATATTGTCAAATGTTAGTTATGCCCCCAAGCTAACATTGTATCGTTCCAGCCATACAGTAAATATATGTGAGATCAAAAAGCTGCTTCTTGATAACAGGAAATCATGTTTAGTTTAGCCCCACTAGCGGTGTGGCTCCAGGGATAAATACAACAACATTTCAACTACCGCTATCATCAGGTCAAAATTTTTATTTTTACAGTACGACTAAAATGGTTTATGACCAAAAAACACTAATTATAATAATAAATAATTAGTCATTTAGCTGACGCTATTATCCAAAGCGACTTGCAATTGTGATATACGTGTATGTCAGAGGTCACATGCATCTGGAGCAACTAGGGGTTAAGCATCTTGCTGAGGGACACATGGGTGGATGTCACAGTGGGATCTGAACCTGTGTCTCCCACACGAGAGGAACATGTCTTATACGCTGCTCCATTACCATTCCAGTCAAAGACAACATTACCATCAACTGTACTTTGTGTTAAGCGCTAGAGAACATGGTAAATATTATACCTGCCAAAAATCAACATTTTAGCGTTGTCATTGTGAGCAGCAGGCTGATGTTGGCGTTAAAAGCACTGGCTCAAAGTACTGGTGCGCCTAAGTACAGTCTCACAGAGCTGTCATGGCTGTGACCCAATGTTTTGTTCTACTAATATTTGGATAGGCAATGCTATATGACGAAATGTATTGTTGAAGTCATAAACAGGGTCATCTAGGGGTGGAACAATAGTATTAGCAACATGATGTTAGCCTCAGACAGAGCTGAACTACAATAAATGGAGTAAATAAAGATAAGGGAATAATAAAATGTTTGTTGATATTTTCTTGGTCACACATCTGACAAAAGGGTTGATGTAAAACTTTCAGTTAAACTTCTGCTGTGTAACTGTGCCAGCAGAGTTTTTTATTTATTCACCTGAAACCAAGTGCTGGTGCACAGACATAGGTGTCATTTATACTGGGGACGCTGGGGACATGTTCCCATCACTTTTTGAAATAGCTGATGTTATCCCTACCACTTTTTGAAAGCATTAGTTAAAAATGTTCCGAAAATAGCTTGCAACAAGAAAAGTTAAATAACAAATGTAAGTGCTATGAGAAAGTTTTTTTGGGACGATACGAAAACATGCAATGCAATGCAAATATAGAAACAAACAGATCTACATTGTCCAAAACAAATTTATTTTAGCTAAAAAAAACAATATACTGATTACTGCATTATATTCCACCTGCCACCTGAATTTTGTCTTCCCCTTTATATAAATAAGGACATTTCCACCATAAATTGGTGCAGAAAATGTCTCCAGAATGCAGGTGTAAGTGTTTAATGCTCAAAATCTTCTGGGGGAGGACCCCCAGACCCTACAATCCTATATTACATTTATGAATATTTCTTTTAAATAGTATTAAAATATATTTTAGTCTTGTTCTTGTGACCCCAATATTCTGCATTGTCATGTCTCATGGGCTAAGTGTTTACAACTCTAATCTGTGCCCTTAAACGTCGCCACTACTTTTCAGCACAAAGTGACACACTTGTGCACAGATAACGTTAACGTAACACAACAAGGTTTGAGTTACTGAAATTATGTTCATCAGCGGTGTCCTCACAGTCTGGTGTCTGTCAGTAGAAAGAAAACGAAAAGTACATCAACCACTCCACATCACTGCCACGGAAAACGGTAAACTCTAAAAACTAGCTCATGTAAGCGACAGACTTCCTGCTAAACTACAGCCTGCATAAAACTATAGTAATTCTTCTTCTTTAAACAGGCTATAAAACGTAATTACCAAATTTTGTATTTAACGTTAACGTTACTTGTGAGAAAACAGACATCGCCACAGCAGAATATAACGTTTTATTGTCAGTCAGAGCCTAAAGGAAAGCAGATTAACTGTACTGTGTGCTTCAAAATCTGTCTCTTTATCTTCTCTCTGCCATTTTATCTCTTCTTATCATATAGTTATTGTTATTAATTATTTACCCTGTCCAGCCTGTTTTGAGATCAAGAAGTCACCGCCTGTGTTTCTGCTCGGTTCATTTTACAGGGGGAACGCACCGGAAGTCATTCTTTCGTTGGTGTGTGACCGATTCCGAGCAGACCTACTTATATTTACGTCTTTCGCCTTGGCTCTTTAACTGTTCACACATTTACGAGTACGTATCTTTTACATGTACTGGCTATATGATAGCTTAGAGCCCCATATTTAGCTAAAATTGCAGCTTAAATTTCGGTTCGAGAAGACTTTCAGTGGGCTAACATCAGGTAGCTAAGCGTTAGCATGCTAGCTGTTTCTTAGTAAAAGAGGAAGAAAGCAAAAATTACTTATATTGTTTGCGTATGTTAAACAAATTAAGGGATTCTAGTACAAAGAGAGTTAATTTTAGAAGCGGCTTTTAAAAAACTAGATAGTATTATAAACGTTGAAGTCACATGGCTCAAAATTCGACAATGTTATCTCATCGTGTGATTTGTCTGCCTCTGCTTGAACACAACTACATTCTGACTGGTTTCCTCCTCTATCCAGAGCCTTTTGGGACTCAGCGACAATGACAGACAGATACAACATCCACAGTCAACTGGAGCATCTTCAGTCCAAGTACATCGGCACAGGACACGCAGACACCAGCAAGTGGGAATGGCTGGTCAACCAGCATCGAGACTCTTACTGCTCCTACATGGGACATTTTGACCTGCTCAACTACTTCTCCGTCGCTGAGAACGAGAGCAAAGCGCGTGTCCGCTTCAACCTGATGGAGAAGATGCTTCAACCATGTGGACCACCAGCAGACAAACCTGATGATGCTTAGATTCCATTGGAGTTAGCAGTGGAGTTTGTTTTACAAGATTTTGTTGTAGTTTTTGAGTTGTTGTTTTTTATTGGACATTCAACTTTGTTTTCTGTCAGACACATTCAATGTTATGCTCGTCTGAAAATTCTGACCATAAAATAAGAAGTGCTTCTAAAGCCATGTGTGACACTGTCAACACTGAATGGCTTGTCCACTTACAAAGCTAGACAGCACAGATCTTTCTGTTTGCACCTGGACCACAGAAAAGGTTTTGCCTCATACAGCTCTGCAGCTTTAATGGAAATTACCTATGAAGTTGAAAGAAAAGAGTAAACAAGGCTTCGAGATCTAAACATTCGCCAGAGAAGATAATAGAAAACGTGTACAAAGTGGTGTACTATCATTTGTCAGGTATTTGTATTAACAGGTGGTGCTGTATTCTTCATTTAAATTTTTGTTTTGATTTAATTAAAATGTGTCTTTCTCTATATTGGGTTTTTCAGTAATTTCTCATTACAAAGTCGGTACCCAGACTACATACAGAGTTGCAAAGTTGGGTCATCACAAGCAGACAAGTGCTTCAGTGCTCCTTAGTTCATATTCTCCAAGTCTCTGTAAAGCTACAGGAGGGATGAACATCATTTTTTCCAAAGGATATCCCTTCATTTGGTGTTTCTATGATGGCGATGTAGAGGGATGGCGGCCCCAAATCCTCCATGGTTGTTTAGTTAGGTTGACATCTGGCACTGCAAAGGCCATAGCACATGTAGTGTTGTAGTCAAGAGCTGAAATCAACGTTAGCATCTTTATCCAACACTACTTTTCCATGTTTACCATTGTGGGGAGGGGTGACGGTCGTTAAAGGTAACAACACGTTTTTAATTAGTGTTATTGGTTGCATCTGAAGCAAAACGTTTTACATCCAATCAAAATTAGGATGTTAAATTAATCAGACAATGCAAAATAAATTTATTGATATTCCCAAAGTTATGGTCTTGACTGGTTTTTAAATAAAATCCCGAGTCCTCAATGTCTGAGACTGAGACAAGACTGAGTGCAAATGCGGTCGAGTCCGAGACGAGACCAAGACCATCAAAAAGTGGTCTTAAGACTGGGTTCAACAATCATGTTCATTCATCATTCAGTGACCTCTTAAATCGTGTATGGAAGCATTTGTAATTTTTTGTAAATCTCAATTTCTTTAATTTTTCACCTGTCTGCAGATTTCATCAATGCCATTAAGAGCACAAATTATATGGTATGCACACACAGTAGACTAAAGTGGACATGGATCATTGGATGTAATAGCATCTATATTGATAACTTACTAGGCAATACGAGGCAAGGATATTTTGTGCCTGAGTCTGAATTTCATAGAGAAGAGAATAAAGATAATGATGAAAGATGCCACAAAGAAACTTAAAAATGTAAAATAAAATTAAAAGCCTATATATGTGCACCAGCTTAAACACAAACATAAGCTCAGAAAAATATTAACTGAAAAGATTAGTTGTTGGATCTATAAAATGTCAGAAAATGGTGATATATGTCGATCAGTGTTTCCCAAAGCCCAAGATGACGTCCTCAAATGTCTTGTTTTGTCGACAACCCAAAGATATTCAGTTTACTGTCACAGATGAGTAAGAAGCTGGAATTAAAGAAGTTAGACTTTTTTTCTTAAAAAATACTCAATACTAATAAATCAGAGATTATCAAAATAGTTGGCGATGGATTTAATAGTTGACATGTAGCTGATTAATCGTTGCATCTCTATTTGTAAATGGAGCTGAATGTTTGCACTGACGTTTATATTTTAGTATAAACCTCTAAACATGCAAGTGTCTGAGATCAGTTTGGAACATGTAAACTGGAAGCCAGAACATTAATAACCTCTAATACTGGCATAAAGCTGATCAGCTGCATGTAAACTCAGCAAAAAAAGAAATTTCCTCTCACTTTCAACTGCTTTTATTTTCAGCAAGCTCAAACTATTATAAATATTTGTATGAACATAAAAAGATTCAACAACTAAGACATAATCTGAATTAAGTTGTGACTGACAGAAATTGAAAAATGTGTCCCTCAACAAAGGGAAGTCAAAATCAAAAGTAACAGTCAGTATCTGGTGGACTCCAGCTGCATAAAGTACTGCAGTGCATCTCCTCCTCATCAGCTGCACAAGATTTGCCAGTTCTTGCTGTGAGATGTTATCCCACTCTTCCACCAAGGCACATGCAAGTTCCCAGACATTTCTGGGGGGAATGGCCCTAGCCCTCAAGGGTACCACATGAGGGAGGAGGATGTCTTCCCTAGATCACAGCATTAGTCCAACCATTACCCCTGGTGAGTCAAAACTGCGTCAGTCAAGAGCACTTTTTGCCAGTCCTGTCGGGTCCAGCGAAGGTGGGTTCGTGCCACTAGGTTGCCAGTGATGTCTGCCTTCAGTCCAGCCTCTCTCAGCTTATTGTGGACAGTCTGAGCACTGATGGAGGGATTGTGCGCTCCTGGTGTAACTCGGGCAGGTTTTGTTGCCATCCTGGTCCTGTCCCGCAGTGGTGATGTTCTGATGTACCAATCCTGTGCAGGTGTTGTTACACATGATCTGCCATTGCGAGGATGACAGCTGTCTTTCCTGTCTCCCTGTAGCACTGTCTTAGCTGTCTCACAGTACGGACATTGCAATTTCTTGCCCTGGCCATATTTGCAGTCCTCATGCCTCCTTGCAGCATGTCTAAGGCACGTTCATGCAGATGAGCAGGGATCCTGGGCATCTTTCTTTTGGCGTTTTTCAGAGTCAGTAGAGAGGTGTCTTTAGTGTTTTAAGTTTTTATAACTGAGACCTTAATTCGTTACCGCCTGTTAGTGTCTTAACGACTTTTCCACAGGTGCATGTTCATTGATTGTTTTTGGTTCATTGAACAAGCACGAAAAACATTGTTTGCAACCTATACAATGAAGTTCTGTAAAGTTATTTGGATGTTTACAGAATTATCTTCCTGAAAAATGGACGTTTCTTTTTTTGCTGAGTTTATATACTGCACAGCAGTGTATTTCAGAAGTACATTTCTTTTGTTTGGCCTTGCAGATTCAACAAACTGTTGTCCACCTACACAGTCTCTCACACAAATGCGCCACATTCAGGCCCACATTCATTTGTACCCAATCATCCACCCACACGTGCAAGTGCAAACAGATCAGCTGATAACTTAAACACACAGCCTGACATGCTGTGTCTCAATTTGTCTGACTGTCAAGTAAATGATTACATTGCTATTACATTACATTGCCATGTGTTAAAGATCTACTGTCTATTTTATAGGCAACAGGATGACATTCAAGTCAAGTGAAAACATCCAAAGAACATAATTTGAGAGGTGGCCGATTCTCATACATATTTAAGGTTGATAGAACTGAAAGGTCTGATATTTGTCATTTACATATCTGAAAAGCAAGAAATAGCAATTAGATTTTGTTATTAATTAACTTCTCAGGCATTGGCAACAGTTTAAAAACTACCATAAAACACAGGTCAAGGTAGACATTAAGAAGGTTTTTCCAGTGTTACATTGAAATCAGTGCCTTTTATCAGGAGTGCCAGTTTAATTATGCTACTAGCCATTAGAACTGTTTTTTATTATGCAAATTGCCTCATTGTGGTTAAAGTAGAATAGATGTTTGAAGCTGCACTTGGTACAAGGCTCGTGTTTGGAGCAGGCAAAGTGAGACTAGAAAAGAGCAGCAGGCGCTGAGGTTTGACTTGCTGACTTCAGGTGATTTATCAAAGCATACTACACGCACACAAAAACAGAAACTTGGTGAGGAGATGATGCCATGCATGACTCATTATTGGATTGAGAGACAAGTCAGTGGGTGCCAAGGAAGTTCTTGTGTTGTGCATCATATCTGTGTGTGTGTGTGTGTGTGTGTGTGTGTGTGTGTGTTGGAGGGCTTGTTAGTGGGGTAAGTCCTTGCCATCTGTCTTCGCTGTGAGAGTCATGGAGATGACGATGCCAAGTCAGGCGTGAAAGCAACGTGAGGTCTGTCAGTGTGCCGTCATACACACACACACACACAAACACACACACACACACACACTCACTCACATAAACTGCTTGACTTGTTCTCTCTGAGACACGAGCACATAAATAGACGTCTGCTCCTTAGTTTCCTGTGGAGATGGACTCTTTTTTTAACGGTAATAAGGCTTGCAGGTGGGTGTGCTTTATAGACTATAACACCCACTTTGTAGGTGAAGCACCCTGAGAGAACCCTCTTGTGCACATTTTCCCCTCTTCTTTCTCTAGACAGGAAAAAAATGAATCATATATCGTGAAAATCACTAGCAGTTGGGAGAATTATTACTATTGAATAGGCACCTGCTATTCCCACTTTGAGAAAGGTTTAATATCAAGTTTTTCATTTACAATAATGCAAAAGATTGTTTAGTTGTCTTGGTATTTGAAATGTGTCTTTACTGTATCAATTTATAAAAAGACAACTGTTTTATGTAACAATTCCCCCTTTAGAGTATATGTTGAAGGCACAAGTGATCGAATGTTTTCACACAGCAACGGGGAAAAAAATGGTGTAACTGAAACAGCTTGTTCTGTTTTGTTTATTCCTTCTGGACTCTTTCACAATGACTATAAATACTGTGTCCTGCCTGCCAACACACACACACACACACACACACACACACACACACACACACACACACACACACACACACACACACACACACACATTATAAAGACTTTTACAGTACAGGCACATAAAAACAGTTTTGTATGCTCATAATGAACATCCTGTATTTGCAGTAAAAACAGTTTTGATTGAGTTGTGTAAAGTCACATAAAATGCGACGAATAAAGATATTGAATACCCACTAGTTCCCATAGCTGACGGACCCTAATATATAAATATACTATCAATTTCATACCTCTCTGGTTTTGAAGGTGTTGATCTAAATCCACAAAAAAGTACAACACAGCAGCTGTTGTGTAATTCTGAGACAAACCTGGAACAGCGATAGGTTTGGTAACTGTTGCATGCTGGTATGCATGCTGGTATATAAAAGGATCACACGAGTGGAAAACATTGCCACTTTAGCCACACAGCCATGGCTCTAAGGATATGTCACTTCTGTCTAAGCTGAAGTAACTCAACAACAATTGGATAGATTTCCATGACAATAGACATTTATAGTCCAGAGAGGATGAATCCTAAACCCTTACTTTTCCCTGAGCTCCATCATGAGGTTGACATTTGTGGTTTCCAGCATACATGTCTCAACAACCATTGCATATGTTGTCATAAAATTTGGTACATACATTAAGTGTGCCCAATACTTTGGTTTATCACCAAATAAACAAATGACATTCCCATCAGCCTCAGCTGCACTTTATGTTTAGTCTTAATAACTAAATGTTAGCATGATATTACGCTAAACTCAGATGGTGAACATGGTAAACCCTATACCTGCTGAGGCATGTTTGCATTGTGATTATGAGCATGTTGCTATACTGGCGTTAGCATTTCATTCAGTGGCACTTGAGCTGGAGCTCCACTTGAAGCTGTTCAACTGTACTAGGTCTCTTTTCAAATTGAGTCTCCGTCCCACTGGTACTGAGGTTAGCAGGTCTGCTTGAAGATCTCACAGCCCAACACCTACTGAATCAATCTAATCTGACATGCTCATTATCTCCTCACGTTCTTCTACCATTCGTGACCCTGCAGTGTCTTGATAGTCGAGGCAGTTCGTTCTACTCTTTCCATGACCCTGTAAAAGCTATAGTTCGACTGGATTTTTTTTAAAACGTGCCTGACACAGTGACTGGCATCTTTTAATAACCACTATGACTTTCTGTGTTCATGCTGATGTGAGTGTCTCGTTTGGCCGGTACTTCACATTCGCTCTCTCGTCTGATTACTCAGGAGCGCAGCCAAATTGCGAAAAGGTCCAGGAAGCACATTCACCCTCGTCAAATACAAACGCTCCCACAATCCAATCATCTTTGCCCTTCTCTGCCACCCACCTGTTTTACCGATCTATCTGCGTCTATCTTCTCTATTGTTCTCCTCCACTAAACTCTTCCCTCTCGTCTTCTTCACTGCTCACACCCCCTCTTGCAAATCTCATCACTTCCTCCTTTTCTCCTACTTTCTGTTCCTTCTTTCTTTTTGTCATCTCTATTGCTCAGATAGGCTTACCAGTTGAGTGGAAACATCCAAGATAAAACACACAAGTAATAACTCTGCTGAATACAAAAACAAATGAATATTTTCTGTGAAGAATGCACAAGTGCGTGTCTGGAATAATTTTTTCAAACTAAAAGCAAACAAAAATCCCAAGGATTAATGGCGACCAGGAGAGGAAAGCGAATGAATGCTAGGCCATTATGACAAAATACTTAATAAGTGTCTGGTCTGAATAAAAAGAAAATTTGAAAAAGTTTACATTAAAATCACCTTTGGTTAACGAATACGCTTTAATCAGATTTGAAACAAGTCTTTCGGAAGTAAAGGTTATCATCCACGCCTCTAACTGAACAATTACCTTTTCATACAGTTTCTGAGCACAGAAAATTAACAAGCGACTTGGTTTCAGATTTTTTGTTTTCTTGCGTTGTTAATCTTTTAGAACCTTTCACTCATTTTTGCAAAGCGTGCAAGTCATTTGCAAAGTGGGATAACTATGAACAGAGCGGCAGGCTGCAGTAAACCCTCTAACAATCACACTTTTTGTAACTGCGCAGGGTGTTAGACTAATGATTAATTACCACCCTTTTCCAATTTAGCAGTAGAACTGCATTGCAGCCGAGACCTCCAGGCAGTGTGCCAGGGACAAAACTGCCTTCCCATCATTCCTGTGAAACTTCATTAACGTGGGGAGTGTATGGCTACTATAGATACTAGTATGACTTTTAGTGCTAAAAAGTTGGAACTTTTTGTTGATTGGTTGTTTAACACATGTAAAAGGGCTTACTTTAGATTTGAGGTCTAGGTTTAAAGTTCAGGTTGGAAAAATATGGCCAAGGTGAATTTTGGAGAAAAAAAGATAAAGTTGAGGACTTACGGCTTTCACAGGTGAAAAAAAAAAGTGTGTGTGAGAGCAGGAGGTTAATGATCACTGTGGGCCAGGAGGGCATCTTTCAGTTATAAGCAACAGCTGCTGCAGTTATCATACTGTCCTCCTTTGCTCTATAAAAGCAATTACCACCACAGTCAGAATAATATATCGAACAAGGGAGCTGCAAAGTCGACCATCACAAGGAAAAAAACGATTTTTACAATTTACACCCTTCCTGTCACAATTCCAAAGCCATAAAATTATCAGAGAAGGCCATTGAACATTGGCCATGATTCAAGTCTTTGACTGTCTTTCATTTCCTACCATCTCTGTCTGCAATCTCCTCGTCCCTTGTCTCCTTCAATCTGTAGTTCTCATTTCCTTGCCTCTCCTTAAGAACCAACTCCATTACGCCCACATCCTCTTTAAAAGCTGTCAGGCTCGTACTTCGAGGCTGAAAAGGCCTGAAATAGAATACTTTAACGGCCATTCGCATAGAAACCTCCCATATAAACCGAAATGCACACGCACACACAGATTCAGAGATGTTTACAACACATGCATTAAGGTGATGTGCACTCTAAGATGAGTAAAGCCTACCTGTAAGCAAGCATGAGATCATAACAGTACAAAAAAACAGTATTCACAGAACTCGCATTCATCTGGAATATGTATCGGAAATCTATTTGGCAGAATGAAGTTTAAATGGCACAGGGTAGTAATGCGGTTCATCTCTCAGTCCTGTGTTTATCAGATTGTGTTTGCATATTGCAGATAAGATTCTTTTGAATATCGACTCCCTGTTTGGGAAGCAGCCATTAGAGTTACGAGAAGAAATTGTCTTATTTTGCATTTGTCAAATTAAACTGATTGATGAACTGTATTAAACAGGATCTGATTAGACTGTAAGTTCCTTGCACTTGGTTTTATTTGTAGGCAACTGAGACACAAGTGTGAAAAGACCGGAGGAGAAACGTGGGCAGACTACCAAGTTAGTCCGTGTTGATGCTCTCGTTTAAACTTCACTATAAAGTGTCACTGTATACATTACTTTTCTCACATATATTAGGACTCAGTAAAAAGAGAGAAAGAATTGACACCTTTAAAACAAGAGTCTGCAGCCATGCTGGGGGCACTGTGAGACTGTACTTTCACTCAAAACACAAACGACCTCATAGTGGCACTAGGGGAAAGTTCAGATAATCACCAAAGGCATTAGAATTCATCCTCTGGGCACCACGAATCACAATCCATTACATCGCTGTTGAGATATTTAAATCTGGACTAAAGCGGTAGACCCGGAGCCACACTGCTACGTGCAGCTAATAAAATTACACATTCGTCATTTCACTTTTTGCAGAATGGTTTGTCCTTTTGTAACCAAAGCAGAAACTCAGTGAGAGCCAAAGGGCACAGCAAGGTTCAGTGCCGATTTCTCAAAGTAATTACACTGTCATCCTCGACAATTCAGGGCACACGGAAGGTGATGAGGAAAGCAGAGTTAAAGGTTTTCTTCAATCTTTTCTAATGTCCTAGAATGGCTTAATTGGCACTAATTGCTTGAACATTTGGGTTTCCAGAGAGGCTGTAAATTCCACTCATAGCCGTCCTTGGAACCGTGGTGGAAATTTAAAAACAAAGAAATATTTGGTAAAGCTTTTAATTAGTTAAGGAAATCTGCAAGTAACAATGTAATGTATTTAAAAATAAAACCCTACAGAGACAAAGCATCTTGCCCCTTCCATTTCATGTCTCTGAATAGTGAATTAGGAAACATGGCCTTCAAGGACTCTGCCTCCTAAAACCAGCAACCAGTAATAATACAATGGTACAAAAGGGAGAAGGGGAATCAATTACATTTCACTTTTCTTACAAGCTAGTACAAATGTATTTGTAAGAGAGGAAGGACTGTTCCTGTGTAAACACCTTTTTTTTGTTGCATAATTTAATGTTAAAATCTTCTTGTATCCAACAAATCTCATTTTTCACAATACCCCTGCCTCTATCTTCTATAATCAGTGCACTTCTGCGGTTTGCATCCATATTACTCACCCATTTTTATTTACATGACAAGAAAAAAAGAACACAAAATAAGATGTTTTTCCATGATTCTTTATATACAAAAAATATACACAGTTTGGACGCAACAGTAGCTGTTTTTGGGATATATGACATCATCCTATGACAAATCAATCTTAAGTCAAACATACAGTAAAGGTAAGTTGGAGTCCAATATCCACCGTTGCTGCTTTGAGCATCTTGCTGCCATTGTGTGAGAAAAATAAATAAATCAAAGCATTTCAGTTACATCCAATGCATTTATAGTTGGGGGGTTTACGGTGTGACTGGGTCACCATCCATCATGATACCTTACTGTGATTTCACAAGATCAAGAAAAGACTACGGGTTGAAGATAAAAGGCTTTCGATCACTAACAGCAGCAGTCTGATTATGGCTCTTGTCAGAAATTGGGGATTTGATTTGGGAAAGTGATAAAGGAAGCCTCAAGCACCATTACAACAGCAGACATCCTCAAATGTAAACATTTTCATAAACTGGTGAAGTATCCAGTACTGCAAATTAATAGCAGCAGCCGGGAAAGCAAGTGTCAAAGTGGCCATGAGTGTTTTTAACCACGCTCAACTGAAGGGTTAGACAAATACTTGTCTTGTAATTGTATGTTTGACACTTTAATTTCATTGGTTCACTGTCATGGACAATGCAAAGCAATGTAGGGTGTGTTACATCTTTTAAAGCTTTCAGAAGGTGTATTGTGTTTATTTTACAGTTCCACACAGGATGAGATGAAACAGACTGCAGCCATAAAGGTTTTTACAGGCCTCGCTCCTTGTGATTAACATTGACAAAACACCAACGGTCAAGGCTCTTCAACACTCTCAACTGCTTAGCCTAGATGCTATACCTAACTCTGGACTCTAAAATATGGAATTATGCACCAGTGTTGCAGGAAAAAGTAAACCTTAAATGTAGATGTGGTTCAGACCAGGATTCCCCTGTAAAAAGTCTCAGTATTAGATGTGTTTTATGTTTTATAATTGAAAACACCAAGCGATTGCCTGGATTTACACAAACAAGTACAATTTCTAGAGCGTCTTATTTTATATTAACCTCTCTATTTAGCATTTATAAGCAGTATATAAATACATCATAAATGGTCTTTAACACACTAATGCAGATGCAAGCAAATAAGTACATTTTTAAGTGTTGATTAATGTACTTTGTCAGCAATTCTAACTTCTACAATTAAGCATCTATAACTGGTGTTTAAACAGCTAATGAATGATTGATTGTGCAGTATACCATAACTTATCATAACTAATCCTTTGCGTTACGAAGCATGTATTAACCATTTATACATGTATGAAAATCATTGAGACAGGTTTAAAACTATTTCTAATGTGTTCAATAAATGTAAATACTATTATATAAGATTAAAGATACAGAGTTAAAGTTGTAAACAAATACATTATTAAACGCTTAAACCTGCACTAATGGATTAACTTTTTTAGTTGATCTACAGTTACAGAGTAACATTATCATTCATGTGGATTCAAGTCTATGGCCACCTGACCAATTTAAGTTCAATATTCACTCTCCTCTAGCTCCATTTTTGGTCTTTACCAACTCTTCGAGGAAATATCTGTCTCTTTAGCTGATAGATGCTCCACTGTGTTCACCAGCTAGTCTCTGGCTCAGTCTACTGTTTGGTTTGGTCAGGTAGTGTACACTTGAAAAAAAAAAAAAAGCTTTTTTGATGAAATCAGCTGCGTGCTGCTGCTGAAAACAACGCTTTGAAAGCCGTGAGAGTGAACAAGAGTGAACAGTAAAGTTGCAGGACAGCTAAACAATAAACTAAAACTCACTGTACAGCTCCATAAAACAGAGGGGAGCCTCAAATACAAGTCTGTAGGTTAATAACTACAAGTGACCTGTTTCACATGGCTTTCACATTGACCATATACTGCTTATAAATGCTAAATCGGCTGGGTTGAAATAAATGTTACTAGTTGGATTAACCTACTGACTTTGTTAAAGATATGCAAGCAGCATATTCAGGTTTTCAAAGCTTTACCACCAGTAAGACTTTTAATTTGTGTATCTAAATTAAAAGGAGCTTTCTGGACAGTTAGATATGATTATGCCAAAGTTTCACGTCGCATCCTGTTTGGGTTTGTGCGCGGTGAACTATGGTCATCTGAAGACATAAATCAAAAGAGAGGTCCAGGAAGGATTATAAATTGCTTTTAAACTGAGTCACTATCCATGAAATTTCTGCCGCATTGCACCTGCTGACTCCAGTTAAAGTGAAGGTACAACAGAATACCAAAAAGCCAGAGAGATATTTATCACTACCATATTGTGCCGTGTCCATGGTCTGCTTAGGAAACAGGTTTGGTAAAGACAAGACTGTACTGTGCCGGATATTCTGCCGAGAAACAGCACTTACATGAGTGCTGAACTGTTCATTTCATTATGATTGTCTGGGGGTGATAAAAAATAAAATACGACAACTAAAATCAGAGCGTAAAACTTTCACATCGAAGTTGTATTGTATCATACTAGTAGTAAAATGGATTTCAATGTATGCACATGCTCGATATACATTCTGTACAAAATAATCAATATATAACAACATAGACATTGGCATGAATACTGTTTTCTTTTCCATCGCTGTACATCATTTCATGTTACAACCTCCGCACCGAAAGAATAAACCTGTCCTTTTCAGTTACTGTTTGTAAGAATGATGAGTGTTGTGGAGGTTGGAGGTCTCTTATGAGAATAAAAAGCCTTCAGACGTCAGCAAGCTCAACCTGTCAATCACTTCTCAGCCAAGGTCACACCCACAGCAATGAGTAAGGGGCCATGTCTTGTTGTGTTCTGTCCCAGCTTCTTATATGAGTCCTAAAATATTTTAAGTTATCAGTTCAGGTTCTCTCTCTCTCTCTGAATATTCTGAGGGTTTCTTTTTCTGATTGCTCAGCCAAATGTTCTGGCATTCCCACAAAAAAAAATCATAAAAAAATGTATCCCCTTTACAATTTGCATTAACATGCATCTTAAGGATTTGATCTGGAAGGATCACTTAGAGGCAGAAAATCTATAAATGCACCAAAGATGAACAGTGATCCAAATGATCCAAACCACCTGAGCCAAGTTGCTAACAAACCATAAATCTACACACACTAACTGTCTGTGCATTTAAACAGAGGCAAACCCTCTTGAATGGAGTTAAGTTGTTGTACAGCCAACTGTGACAATTTACCTGTTTGTATATAATCTCATAACAATAAAAATGAATTCAGACAGACAGTGGAATATAAAACAGGCTAAGAAGTATTGATCTTCACATCTAACACTCAGCAAGAAAGTGACTGCCTTTTAACAATGCAATTAACTATATAGGGGTATTCAGTATAATATCATATATGACAATGACTATGAGAATAGTTACAGATTAATTAATCAATCAAGTGATCTTGTGTATTTCTAAAAAGTTTAATTATTCCTTTAAATTCTCAGGTTTGGAGCCAAAAGAGAAATCAAACTGTGTGTTGATTAAAACAGCTGTTCACTGCTGGATTCAAGGTGCATGTTAGGGCAAGTTATGAAAGGGCTACATGTCAGCAAGGCTCTCCTTGTGTATGTATCATAGGCTGACAGATTAAACTGCAAAAGCATGTTCAAGGAAATGGAAAATAAAATTCTTCTCCACTTCTTTGAGAGGCCAGTTGATTGCTTCAGTGGTGAAACTCTCAGTGCCTGTACTCTATTCATAAAACCTTTATATGATATCCACCGAAAAAAAAAAATCAAACCTGTAAACTTTCAAATAAGAAGACAAGAATACAATCAAATTTCTGCTTTTTCTTTGGCACCAAGTCACTCTGAGTAAGAGCTCCAGCCAATAGCCTTAAAATGAAAAACTGAAGCAAGTCCAGCACTTTGTGGTCAGAGCTTTGCACTTAATAACCCAACACAGAATATATGATGGTACACGATAACCATGTATCATCAGGAAAAGTGCTGAGAGACTGGCTAGAATTGGAGTGATTTTCATTGCACTTCACTATTAGTGCCTCAGATGTCCAGCGAACTTAAGCTTAAGTAGTTATAAATATAACACTTGTAAGTAATTTATCATCTACATAGTCTTCCTCCTTTTAGACTCTAACTCTTACGATATAATGCCCTCTAGTGGCAATATACTTTAAATATGTCTAAAAATGAACTGCAGTATTTCAGATATAACTCCAAGAGGCACCTCTCCCTCGTCTGATCTATGACACAGGCACTGACATCCGCAGGAAACCATCCAATCACTCCCATTTCCGGTTCTAGGAGGATGCCCATATATGGCCATTATGGCAAGGCATGCCTTGGCAAGTACACAAACTCTTTAGTACAATCATGCCACATTCACTAATACGGGTACTTTTGCCCATTTTTCCTCCCTGGAACTTCTCATTACAAGGCCCGAAGTGAACCAAAAAAACAAACAAACAACAAGCATAATATCCCAGCAGGTTCTGGCAATCTACAATAAATAAATGGTTCTAATCAGAGCGCCATAAAAACTGTTCTGACTCTAAGATATGTGCAAATGTTTCACTGGTGTCCATGGATGGCCAAGGCCTTAAGACACATGCTGTCACTATAGACAGAAATACATATCATCAAGCGCAAGAGGATCCCAGAGCTGTGGATAGAGCTGTGTACTGAGGGTCTGGAGGGCCGGGAGACTGCTGGGAGCTGTGGACCGGAGAGCTTGTGGTGCTGACATCCAGCTGGCAGTGAGAGCACTTATGGCCGATGGAATCTGAAAACAACAAACACACAGGTTTTAGTTCATGAATATACAATGCAAACATACTCAATATAATAGTATATCTACAAATCAACAATACGGAACAGATAGTTTATGATATAAAAAAATGTTTGTGTGGAATTCATCTGTAGGCTATCTTACAAAAAATGTTTGCTGTTACTGTAGAAAAAAGATATATCAACATTAGGGCTGTCGCTTTTTATTCGGAATTCAAACTGCTGTTTGAACTTGAGAAAAATACTCAATCAGAAATTATCCAAACTCACAATGAATAAGCAGAACAGACCATGCCTTCTTCTCCAGCAGGGGGCTTTTATAAAATGCAAAGACAGTCTGTCCCATTATCTTATCTCGTACACAAGTGATGCAGAAGACGCACCGTGAGTGAATGAAATAGTTCCACAATGGAGAATACAGTTATGCTATATAGGTTGCAATCAAATTTGTTGCAACAAATTACATGTTAGTTCTTATTTGTTTAAATGTGATTTAAACCTAACCCACACACAAACAACACATGAGAAGGAGATATTCAAAGCAAAATTAGAATCTGCATAGAATCTGATATGGTGATATCTTCACCAGGAACAAAAACACTCAATTCAAACACCTGCACCTTGAGCTGCAGCCAGTGGCTTTAGAGAAAGAAAATTATGTTGGTTTAATGATGTTTCACACACACACACACACACACACTAAAATATCAGGATTTGTGTGCTTGTAATGCTGCTTGAATTGTCGGAAAGATCTTGGTGAAGTTAACTGTTCTCCTGGTGGCTGAAAAAATATATATACATAACACACATTTGCACAACAATAATATTTATCCATAAAAATGAGATGCTCTAAATGAGTAAATGGAATAATACATATTTTTAATTGTATTAGTTTTTACTGGTGGACTTATTCTCACTGTGCTCTGTACAGCGGAACAATCCAAAACCATGTCACAGAGATCTAATAACATATAAGAGAGTGACCCTGGACTTTACTGACAATCATTGCCTGAGGCTAATGAACTGGAGTCGACCCAGGTGTATATCATGACTTGAATGTGGTTAGTGGAAATGGAGGACCAGAGTAATATAAATATCGATCAACGTGAGCTAATAAACAGCAGGATTTGTGGTGATAAATTACTAATGAAGCGCAAGTTATCGTCAGAGTTGGCTAAATGGTAGAGGTCATCGACTGCTCGAGTACCTGGTGAAGTGTTTGCTGTCTTCATGAACCTCCATCTCCCGGCTCTTAAACTCGTTCAGCTCCTTACGGATAGCAGCCTGAGGGGCAGAACACGCACACACACACACACACACACACACACACACACACACACACACACACACACAGATAAAAATGCACTTAAGAGGACAAGGCCACCCACCCACACACAACATCAAAACACAGCTATGTTTTCTACTCTAATCATCCTGTAGACTTGCAGACTTTGATGTGCATTTCCAATAATGTAAAAGGGTTCCGGGCTGTTTCAGTATGAAATCTGAAGGTGCTTTATTTTTAAAAGAAGCAAGAACAAGTTTACTTGTAAACACCAGCCAGCATGTGTCTTGTTCGTTGTTATCTTAGGGCACTATTGTTGATTTGTTTTTGTCTGTTATTATTAAACAATATTAATAACACTGTTAAGGATTATTGTAGTCAGAAAGTTGATAACACTCTTAGTTTCATTAAACTATATGTAAAAAATTAGCCTGGCATTTGACATTTGAACAGAAATCCCTCTGCCGCAGGTAACGTGAAGTCCTCTCCCTCTCCTCATACAGCAGTTGATTATGAGGTGTGATATAAATTAAAGTCTGTGAGGGTTAAGCATTTGTGATTTAGGATGGACATTAAGACTGTGCAATTTCTGTGTGATGTGTAGTTCTAAACATCAGCAGCAGAGGGCAGGCTTGACATAGAAACAGATTTTATAAAGACAGAAAACATTTGCAAGGTAGACATGGTACATGGATGCACTTAGATTGCTTCTGTATCAACATGTGTATCATCACACTCACTTTACAAAACATCACGTGCAACACGGTCTGGGGCAGTTTCAGGGTTTCATTTGGGCTCAAACACTGAGTTCCAATTAAGAGAAACCTTAATGCTCCTGCATACAACAATATTTTAGACAATGGCTATTCCTGGGCACCAAGGGAGGTCCACAACAAGAAGATTTTCTGTGTTTGATAAGGAAAAACTCGACTAGCCTGCACAGAGTCCTGACATCAACTCCATCCAACACCTCTGGGATGAACTAGAACACAGATGAACAATCCAGACCTTATCTCCCAACATCAGTGCCTGACCTTGCTAATGCTCTTGTGGCTGAGTGGGAGTACCGGTATATCAAACATTTTGTAGAAAGCCTCGACAGAAGAGTGGACTGGCAAAAGTTTTTGGAATGAAATATCTAATATCTACATACGGGTGTCCAAATATTTTGTTTGGGTGTCCTCATACTTTTGACTTTGACATCCTTTAACCACCTGTAGTTTACTAACATCAAGGTTTTATGACACATATCAATTGTAGCTTACCTTGTCAGCGGGAGTAAGCCGTGTCCAGGGTTTGTCCGCCCGCCGGTCATAATCTTTGGCATCCGTTACCTCCACATACTCGTTAAAACGCAAGATCCTGCGAGCGACGAGCTCTGCCACTGTAGGCCTCACACTCAGCTACACGCACACACGCACACACACACACACAGAAAAGGGGACAGAAATTAGACCATAAACATCAAAATTCAGGAATGATCTTTCAAATATTTTTTTCTTTTTAGAAGAAAGTTATATTAACGTCTAACATATGGTACATGCCTATGTGCTTATGTCATTTTACAATTGTACCCTGTATTAATTATTTAAACAATTTCCAGGAACTAAATGTTATTTTTTATCACATGAGCAAGAGTCATAGCAAAAGTTTCAGTTCCATCTGTGTCCACTAGATGGCTACACAAAGCATCTTTTCTGCCTCCTAACATGAGTCACTGCAAAACATATTAGCGGCTAAATATAGACTCACTGTGTCCTTTCTGTTCTCACTCATGTGTGTGACTGGCTGGTGTTTACAGTACCTTTCTGGAGAGTCTCCTTTTAATCTCTTGCTTGGCTTCTTGCTCCTCTGCTTCATTCTTTTCTGCATGCAGAGAACCAACAGACTCATTTCACACCCACAGTGTCTGCAACATGCTTCTGCTTCTACTTATAACAGCAAGATGTTATTTGCAATATCAAAGTGTGTCCATGGATATGTAGCTGTGTTATCGCCATAACAAAAGCAAAAGGGTAAAAACTTAGGTAAATATATATATTTATGTGTGTGTGTGTAACAGCACAAAAACCAGTATTTCTTTCTCTTTTTGTGTTTCTTCCTAAATAAAAAGTCACACATTATATCTCAGTCGTCTTTGTGCTGTACACATCAGAGGCTGGCTTTATTTTACCTGAGTTACAACTAGACTGAGGCTGTGTGACACATTAAAAGTATCAACATCTCCTGATGGATAACATGCGTGACGCTGCAAACCAACTTACTGCAAAATATGCGTGCAAAAGGTATGCACATCCTAACAAGCCCTGCAAAGCTTTTGCTCCAGTTTTACTGAGACACTTTCTTTATGTCAGCAGATCAGTATTACTGCACCAGTCAGTGTCAAGGTTTCATTTTAGCAGCTAACAGCTGTTGTATTTTAATGTGTTTTGTTACAGCCTAAAATAACTGTAAGTAACCATTCGTGGATAATATGAAGTCACAAAGGGATGAACTTGGTCAGAAACAATGTTCAGAATAGTTGTTTTGTAGTCATGTTGTACTGTTATTGTAATTTGCTTATTGTGCCATACTTACTATGTATATACCACCAATACACTGGATGATTAGCTTAGTTTTTATTTTAATTTCCTGTGTCATACTGGATACAAACTTGTGATTGTGAGCTGTTTGCTATCATTTTCCACTTAACATAAAACAGATATCACATAATAACTCAGTTAGGCCAAGAGCAAAACCACTGTTATAATATCCAACGCTTAAATACCTCTTTCTCTGAAATGCAAAGTTGGCACATAAATTGAGCTAGCAAACCCTCCAGCAGAATGATTGAAGTCCGTCTTAGTAGCATGACATACGAATTTTATAGACCATTTGACAGAGTCATTTAAATATTTATCAGGACTAACGTGTAGTGCTTGTATTGTGGACAATGCAGCCTAACTAACTGACTGAGCAGAACTGACTTAACTTTGATTAACATGGTGACCAAAGTAAGGAGAAAAAGATCAGTGTCTATGAACCCCTCTCTGTAAAATAATACAGACCTTAGTGTGACCGCCCACATCAGTCCAGCGTAGGAGACACAAAGCTTCTAACAGACAGTAAGTCATAAATTAGATGGACATATCTGTCTCATCTTTCTGATTAATGAGACATCCAAGGTCTTATCTGGCAATTTTTTGCTACCACCGAATAAAACTAGACAGCTGGAATACCACAATATCTAATGTAACCAGGATCATCTATTCTTTTGTTCAGATGTTGAACTTTATGTTGGACAGACACAATAATATTGTTGTTTCAATTAGGACCTATGTGGACCTTCTCTTTGTGAGAAGAATAAAAGTGGACATCAATATATTGTAGCTTCATAGAAAGTAAAGTTGAATTAGGAGGTACATTGTTGTCAACCCCTAACAGTGCTTCTGTTGTGAGAATGCTATAAATGTGTCACACCCTAATTTCAAGTTTCAAGAGAGATAAGACAGACCCAGGCATCATATTCTAACAGTGGGTAATATATCCACTAAGTGGTGCAAAATACACGGCATGTATAGATATCCTCAACATGCATCAGATGAGGTGATGCAACACTGCTGCTTGCATGCTTTACATTTAAAGATTTACTAAAGACTAAAGAAATGTATATGACATTGCTTTAAAAGTTTCTAAACCTCAGTTTAATAGTTTATTTCAGAAACTTACGCTTGAGGATGTTTCTCTGCTCCAGCTCCTCTGTGGTGGGTCTTTGGCTCAGGCGCCTGAAAAGAGAAAACACATAAGAGCAGACGTGACTTAAAAATTATGCACAAAAACAACAAGAATTATCACATTAACATTTGTGAAACTTTTTGTTGTTGTTAATACAAAGGCAGATTTGCTGGCAGCCTTTCTGCCTCATCTGGTAGAAAATGCCAAACTAAACTTCAGCACACATTTTTACTGTGCATCATTTGTACCAGTACACCGCCCACAACCGCACCATGAAACAATTAACAATCTCTGTTAATACCCAACAGCTCCGCCACATCTACAATGAAAATTCACACATTTTCACATCATGCTGAGCGTGTGTGTGTGTGTGTACCTGACTAGTTTGCTGCCTATCTGCTGGCGGAGCTCGTGTCTCTCTGTCAAGGAGCTCCGTGGCAGAATATTTTTCTCCTCCAGCTCTGCCTTGCTGGGTCGGTTCCGCAGTTTGATGTTTAGGGTGTCTCGTCGACGGATCCTATTGGCCAGAGCGCCTGGAACAGAGACGCAACACGGTCACAGGCTTTTTTTGGGCCTTGAAACAACCACCAAGGAGATCTGCTGCAGGCTATAATGAAGCATCAATGAGGCAAATGAGGTTTCTAAAAATCTAAAAAAAACATCAACATGTAGCTGATACAGCAGGTGCAACTTAATTACAAATGCTGCTTCAAAGGTTGGTCATATAATTGGATGAATTGTTGGTTGGCAAAAAAATGTCATGCAGCTCTTTGATATAGACGATATAGAAGTTTCAAAGCAACATTAGCTAACAAGTAAGAGGCCAGATCATCTTTGCTGAAGCTGGTACACTAAGAAAACTTAATTCAAAGAGATTTATGTCTTTTCTACATTAAAAACCCAGCTGGCATCTTAATAGATGCATCTTTAACACAGTGTGTTGTGCCTCCTTTGACGTTCATAACAACATGAATGTGTCTGGTTGCAAAAATGTGCGATGCTGTCTTGCTGTAAGCAATCCTTTCCACTTTACTTCGATAGCGATGAGATCTTGGGACTGTGCAGGCCACAAAAGGAATGAATACTCACCGTGTTCCTGCAACCATTTAGTAATGATACCTGTCTTGTGACATTATGCATTTGTATGCTGAAGTGTCCATTTGTGAAGTTAAGGTAAGAGACGAAGCAGGATGTGGATCAAACGAGAAAAGGGGCCAGTCGCATACGGTCAGTAACTCTCCCAAATGCTGTTGGAAGATTCTAAGGCTGTGTCCGAAAATCATCACTCATTCACTACTCCCCTGCTCCCTTATCTAGGTAGATATATGTAGAGGACTATACAGTGAGCTCACTGGCAAAATGAAAACAACACTTCTGGACACTACTCGAGTCATTCGCTCTGTACCATTTTTAATGTCATTGCCGTCGCACAAAACGAGCCAGATCAACGTCAGCTGGTGGACCATTATTCTATAAGCACAATGAATGATGATATATACAGCTTGGTTAGTGCCCATCGGTTGTACACTACTTTTCACAATGCATTCTGGGATACTTTGAGCCCACTATATAGGGTATAATAATTCTTACTACATTCGGAAAGCAGTACAAAATGGTGGTTTCGGACTAAGGCCGGACGATACGGCCAAAAATGTTATCACGATAAAAAGTTTCATATCTTTGGATCAAAAGTATCAAATCCTGATTTCTTTCGAGTTTAAAGGCTGATTTTTGCTCCTGAGTGAAAGTTGAAAAAACCCGATGGTTAATTGTGGCTTAAACTCTTCTTTATGGTCAACAATTGATGCCAAACAATGGATCACTTCACAAATCTGAGGTAGAACATTCAAAACAATTATGATAAAATCTTTGTCAATATGCATGAGTAATATTAAGTAAAAGCTTTTTTCAGTCCTTTTTCCTAAACAAAATAAATATCTCAATAAAAACATTAAGTCCTACTTTGTGTATGATTCAAGTGAATAAAATCAAACATTGAATATGTATTGAACAACATATATTGTTATTGAAAAAAATTATATCGCAATAATTATTGACATCGTTTTATTGTCCAACCATATTTCGGACACAGCCTAAAACTCCTTAATGCTGTTGGAAGATTTTAGAATGAGCATGCTTAGCGCCAACTATCATGTAGTCACTATGACCACTTAAACGTGCATATTGCTATGACTCAAAGAACAGGACAAATCTAATGAACTGGTAACTCTAGTGAGCATGCACAGGCACCCTTGTAGCTCAGATGGTAGCATGAGTACCAGGCATCAAGGCTGAGTCCTTACCGCAGTGGCCTGGGTTTGAATCCAGCCTGTGCCCTTTGCTGCATGTCATCCCCTCTTTCTCCCTGCCTTTCCTGTCTCTCTCTCTACTATCACTATCAAATAAAGCAGAAATGCTTAAAAAAATGTAAATAAAAACTTTGAGCTGCTTTTCCCTTCCAGGTTTCTGCCAGCATTTGAAATCAAATAAATAGCATATTCTTAATGAAACGCCTAATGTAAACTACCATAGTAGTCATGAGGAGCTTCTTTAAAATGTTTGTACAAGTTGTGCAGGTGACACACTGGCTTTGGCCTCCATTACTGTGTGATGTGTTAGAAATCAAATGTCATACTGTTTGTGTACTCGTCCTCCTCATCTTCTTCCTCCTCATCGCGGTACAGGATTGGGCCGTCAGAGTCGGAGTCACTAGTCTGGCTGTCTCTCGGCCTATTGGGGATCACCGTCACCTCGGCATGCTCCGTGTTCACACTGAGGCCCTGTGGCTTTTCAGATTGTTGCTTGGCTGACCTGCAGGAAACAATAACAAGGCAGAATGAGCGCACTTGTTTGATGAAATAGAACAAATCCTGAGATTTGTAAAGCGGTTTCCTCTAAATGTTAATATTTTAGTAGATTTATTTATCATTTTACAACACAGGGTTGTATAACTAGCTTTTACCTAGGGCTGTTTTCCACAGGAGACTCTGTTTCTCCTCTGCTCTTTTCTTCTTCTTCTCCTCCCTCCCCTCCTGTTCTCCCCCGTTTCTCCCCCTGTGAGCCGCTGTCTGTCTCCCCCTCTGTGAAGGAAGTGTCCTCTGTACTTCTGTTGATATGGGGAGACTGGACTGTGAGTTCAGGAGCCATACCTTTGTGGGTATCCTCACCCGCTGTAGAGGCCTTGGGGGCAGATTTAGGCTCCAGACTAGGTGGGGTTCCCCCTGTCTCATTGCCTGAGGCATTAGAGGAAACAGACTTGGTGTCTAAAGAAATGGGTAAGGATTTTATCTCCCCAGGCTGGCTTGGAGTCTCTGCAGAGGCCTTTTGAGGTACAGAGGAAGAGGTGGGAGTGTCTGATTTCCGGTTGGTTCTTGCATCTGTCCCACCAGTCTGTGCTGTAGCCTCCTTAGACAGACGAGAACGAGGGGTGGAGATGGAGGTGGAGGCAGCGGTGGTTTTTGTTGTACATACTGTCTTCTTTGCATGTGAGGATTTGGCTGAGGAGAAGAAAAAGAGATAGGGAAATGGTGCTCCAGAAATGCAGGTTACAAAAACTATGAATTGTCTGTAAGTGTGAAAGAAGTTCTATCAATACAAATGCTATGTCTTATACTAGTATTTAGTTAAACTGAAATCACATTAATCTGTTGTTGCAGTTAGAAATACTGTCAACATGTTTTTTTAAAAATAGATTGTAAATATCTTTTATTATTGACAACGAAGAAAAGAAATTGGGCAAATATCAGAAATGCTCTTTTATGTCTCGTATGGTTGGATAAGCAGCCTGCAGGATGACCCCTGGTGGGGAAACAAGTGAAAAAGCTGACAAACTTGCATGGGCTCACACCGTGATGTTTTCAGGAGTAATGAGGAGTAAAGAGCACACCAACATCTAAACAGACCGAAGTGACATTTGCAGGAACATTTGCATGATGTTTAATGTGCTGCAGCTGAGCGGCTAATCAGCTATCAAGCCAGCATACTGATGTTAGCAGTGAATGTTTGTTTGGTGGCTCGTTCAACAAGCTATGGTGCAGCGTGTGTTTATGTTTGTAAGTTAAGCTTTAGCAGGAAAGCTAACATCTATGATTGAACACTGATGTAACTGCTTTCACCAAATGTCGTTTAAAATTAAGCAATTTGATTGGCTGTATGTAAACAACTTCTCCATCTACATGGGCGTAGAACCAAACTGTATTTTGTCAAATTAATGCAAAAATAGGGGGGCGCCATCATAAAACCAAAAAATATTAAATATAAAATTCTCCCTTTAGGTTTCTGATTTTTATTCAAAAGCGATTTACACAGCAGATATGTTTGCTGTACCAGAAAAAAATACAACGTAATCGAAGTTTGACGGAAAGTAGTATGTGCAGTAGGGCTGCAACTAATGACTGCCTTAATCTACTGGATATATGCATTCCACAATTTATCCATTAGCAGAAAGAAACTTCTCTATTTGCAGCCATAACATTTCAGTACTAAAATAACCACTTCTAATCAGATTGTTAAAACTGCAACAAATCTAAAATGTTAATAGTCTACAGACTGAATTAGTCCTTTAAGTTTCTGTGAAGTGTCTTTGTGTGCTGATAGAAGCAGCCAGAGGAAAGGGATGTACTTAAAATATTATTAAAACACTAACAAACAACTTTTGTCCCACTTCCCCAATAACTCAACATAAGATAAACAGAGTCCTTAAGAAATGACTGCATGAACATCACATGCAATATTCTGGGCTCTGGGCTGCTTTCTCTCTCTCTCTCATGTGCGGTCCCTCTCTCTCTCTCTCTCTCTCTCTCTCTCTCACACATACACACACACACACGTCCACATTTGGGCAAAAAAATACTCACTTCTGCTTTGAGATCATGAACAAAACACTTCACTACAGTTACTCACTTGACTGGAAATCTCTCACGATTAGGAGAGAGGACAATATCAGAAGGGAGGAATACTATTTTGTAGCCACTTGACAAAAACTTGACACCTGACACAAACACTTGATGGGGCACACATGAAGCCACGGTTTACATAGTGAGTCTTCTTTCTCTTCAAACAGTGGTACAAACACATTTTACATGCAGGGAGGCAGGCAGGCAAGAACATCTACAGGCAAACCGGCTTCAGTCCCAACAAGCTGAACTTACCAGTCCCATGACTAGTGTTGTTAGTGCTCCGCGGGTTAGCTTTAGCTTGAGTGGATGAGCCTGTCTTGCCTGTGGTTTTAGCTGTCTTTTTAGCCCCTGAGGTGCTGTCTTTTTGCCTGGCTGTGACTGCAGTGCTGCTGGCAGGTTTGGAGGAAGCGGGCAGAGTGGCGCTTTGCTGTTTCTTAGCTTGAGCATCTCGAGGTCGCACTTGGTTTGCCCGGGCGAGGGGTTTAGTGGGTTTAGTCTGATCTGAGCAGATCAGATGAAGCAGGAGGGGGAAAAAGTATGGTATAGAGGTTAAACTAGAGACTGAAAACAAGATAAAAGACGCACATCTGTGCAAGAAGATGCACAAATGGGCATGCAGACAAGCAAAGAAAGTGATACTGAAAGATTAGAGGTGAGTTGATGGACAGAGATGATGGAGAGAGCAGCTTTTATTTAGGATTGTATCAACCTGAATGATGTATAAGGCTTCGGATATGACAGATGGCATGTACCCATTAACCTTCCCCACCCTCCAGTGTGAAGGCATGTGTGTTCTGCTACCGAACTACTGAACAAACAAATGGCTATGCGTTCAATGCTAATAGGGTTGTGATGAGAACAGCACAACACTTAAGCAGCATCAGACAGGAGATCAGCGGCATGTCTCCTAAGGGAAAGGGAGGCATTAGGAGATGGCTACTTCTCTGTTCAGACCGTGATATTATGGGAATATCCATTTAAACAGAGGATTCAATGTCAGCCAGAAAACTGAGGCTGAGGCTGAGAAAAACTCAACATCTAAAAAAACCCCACAACATTTAGTTCTACCATCTAAAAATAGAGTTGCTAAAGGGCTGAAAAAGTCCCATGTTCCTGAGTAACTTGACATGTTTCAACACTTTATATTTGGAATAGTGAAGCCATATTATAATTGCATTTGTTCACCCAAGTTGATTTCTATGGATTATCTTTGTTGCCTACAGGACACATTAATACTACTGTGGATTCAGAATATCTCCCTGTTACAGAACATGGAGCATAACATTTATGTACTTGAGGTGCAAAATATTTTCAGGATCATTTATGAAAACCTGTAGAGAAAGAGTCTTTTTGGTAACAACACACTTTAAGCTTGAACCAGACTACAGGTAACAGTGCAAACAACAAAAGCCCCAGATCCAGAAGTTTTACCTGTTTTGTCTTCAGTGCTGACAGGCCCGGTGGCCTGTTCCTCCAGCGGTGTTAATGGAGACTCAATGTGAACTTTGACCTCCTCTGATGTCACACTGGATGTGGCATGGCCGTTCAGACTTTCGCTGCCAATTGTTTCATCTAGAAGAGAGAGAAAAAAAAAAACAGTTCATGTAACAGAAATCCAGTTTTTCAGAAATGTTCTTGAAGCAGTTGAAAGCAAATTTGTATTTTGAGTTCAGCTTTTATTGGCATTACAACAGGCAGATGTCTCATTTCAAGAAGTTCAACTTAATGTGTAAAGGACACCAAGAAAATTACAGAAAAATGTGTATTAGTTGATGAAGAATAATTCATTAAGGAAGCAGTTAAGTTTCCATTTGGGTTTATAAGTAGCTAAAATGCTCTGAGCTGAACTCCATCACGGGCTAATCATGGGTCATTTTGAATGCCGGACAGGAGCATCGTTTTGATGTTTGAAGTGGAACTAAATAATTGAATAACGAAACATGCGAATGAATGCGCAGACAAACCTTGGTCAACGATGAGAACTCCTTTCCTGATGAGTTCCTCCCTCGTTTGTCTGGTGGAGATTTTTCTCTCTAGAACTGAAAGATGAACGAGATCATGGTCGGCGTATGATTCACCGGGGGAATTTTATTTGCTCTTCCTTTATCTAGACTTCGAGCTACAGGAAGTAATTTACACAGCATTCAACCAAAAGCGTTGCACAATATATACTTTCCCCTTCTTATTGCGAAATCATCGTTGCCTTACCCTGCAAGCTAATTCTGTCATCCTGCTGGAACCTAACTGCTGCTTTGCCTCTGAAACCTCCTGAGAACAGGATTATAAGGAATCAATCTGCCTTGTTCAGTTACATCTGTACACAGCTGAGTCACCAAATGAGCATGTTTGATCATACAATTAGGGCCGAAAAGCAACAAGCAGCAAGCTACCTGCAACTATTTAGGTAATTAACATTTTCTGATTTCAGCTTAAATGTGAGTATTGTTTTGCTTTTCTTTGTTACATATGATAGTAAACTGAATATCTTCGTGTTTTTGACTAATAGTGGGATAAAAATATAATTTGAAAACACCACCTTAGACGCCACCTGGGTAATAATTCTGGGCATTTTTCCACTATTTTATATGTATATATGATATTTGCAAGATTGTCATGAAAGAATCATTAGATGCAGCACTACTACACACGATGTTTAGATTGATTTTGTACACTCCATAAACACAAAAAAGACTGAACAACTGCAAAATATAGCCAACTGTCCATGTTGGTGTTCACTTCCAAACACATGGTTTGAAAAATCTTTAAAAAATTACATTTCTATTACGTTCTACCACCATCCAGTCACCATGAGGCAGGATAATATTCAACAGTTCAACACTGCTTTATAGCTTTAAATAGCAAGGTATTGTTGGGAATCATAATAAAGAAGATGGCTGGAGATCACAACTGAGCACACTACACCAGAGGAAGATAATCAGCAGAAGAAAACGCTGATATGACCTCCATGAAAAAATTAAATGGACTCGTGCATGTTAACATAATGGCTACTGGCGTGGCGGCAAAGTTAAACTCTTCGCCATGATGCAGGAAGTTGTTGTAACTTGGCTGTACATGCATCTGTACCAGAGTTTAGAAGTTTGATAAGAGTCCTGCCCTTAACACATGTACAAGACAACATTCACCCACAGTCATAGCGCCTCCTACTGGCAATAGGAAGTGATCTTCAACGATGCAGCCCCTGCGGCACATTTTACCTACATGTATGAAATTTCTGTGGCACGTGTATCATGTCCAGATGTTTAAAAAAAGCCTCTTGGAGCGATTCCCTAAACACAACAGGAAGTCGGCCATTTTGAATTTTATGGTTATTTTTGGATTTTTTACACGCTCCATACTTTAACAAACTCCTCCTAGAGAATTAGTCCGACCGACTTCAGATTTTTCCTGTCTACTCTAAAGCCATTGACGTTGTAAGAACGGTGAGTTTTGGTGAAACGGCGTGCCTGTGGCGTCCAAAATCGATGATTCGCCATGAAAGAGGAAGTTGTTTTAACTTCAGTGTACATGCTCACATCTGCACCAAACTTTACGTGCTTCATAACAGTCCCGCCCCGAACACATCTACATGTTCAGTTATAGTCGTAGTGCGAAGTGCTATGTAGCGCCACAAAGGGGACACAGGAAGTGATGATTAACATGTTTGTGCAGCGTCCGAAGCCCATGGCAAATTCACAGCTACACTGTCAGAGCTCCACAATCTGCAACGCGGCCGCCTCACACCTCGACGCACTACACGTGCGAGGGCCCGCCCAACACAGCTTGCAGTGCCCTGGGCGCCCTCGCGTTTTGGGCGCCTGCTGCGCCTTGCGCATTTGAAGGAGAGCTCTGAGCTCATGGGCAGAAAAGCGTCCGGCGTCATTCGCATTTTTTTCCATTGTCCAATCGAATGAATGGAGAGATGGACCTCAGTTGTGGTGACAGAAGTTTACAGCTTCTTGGATTGTCCAGAGACTGCAACAAACTGTCCCCGACTCATCATAAATAAACCTTGAACCGACCATCATTAAGACAAAGCTACTGGACCACCTGGTGGTACTACCAGCAGGGTCTCCTCTTACTGAGGGTCTCATGTACCCACGGATCTCTGTTTCCGTGTCTCCTGCATGTTTGTACACCTCTCACCCTCAAACAATGACAGAGCAGGCGCCTTCCGTTTGTCTACTTTTTTTAAAGCAGGTGTTTATAGCAACAAAAGACTCAAAACCTGAGAGTTGTGATCAAGTTTCTGATAACATGACAGTTATTACTTAGCGGCAAACGATTACAGATCGCTGGCGCTATAATATTTGATTAGACTGACAAGACAGCTGATTTGGTGGTTGCCTAGCAACATGAAAAAAATGCAGCACATTGCTCTATCCAAATTCAGCCAAAAAAGCCACTGCTGTGCGGCTCACGTTTTCAAACCTGCAAAGCGCTTTCTATCTGATCAGGGCCTAAAGGGGCATGGACACATGAAATCTTCATACAGATACAGAATAGAGAAAGGATCAGGTTAACCTGGCAGCCATGAAAGAGTCTCTGCTTTTTGTGTTTACTTCTGTCTCTTTTTATTTCCCAGCCAGCACTTCAAGAATGAATCAAAGAGAGCTACAAACAAACTGGTCACTCTTTTCCTTTTAAAGCTCTTCTGGGGGCAAAACTGCTCCTGTTCACGCTTGCAAACAATGATGTGGTATAGATACTTGATTGAGGAGAGCAAATCAGAAGCCACTCCTCACACACAAATGCAAACACACACAAACAAGATGTATACCTTTAGAAAGATCCTGGAACTTGTCGCTGGTCTTCTTCTTCCTCCACTTCCAGGGTTTGAACAGTTTTCCTAGTGACGACAGCTTGCCTCGCTGCTGCCGTGATGCAGGGACATTCTGGGTATTGGTGGCGCTGTCCACCACCACGTCACAGCTGGCCAGTGATGATGATTTATCCAACCCATCAACTGGAAGACACGCAGAAATAAATAAAAAAAACACACAACATAAATCAGATCAGCATCATGATCCAAACACAAGTATGCACAACAGTTCTTTATATGCAGGCCAACCAGAGGTTTTATGTCCTGTGATACATGGAGATAATACACATCTATTGATATATCATATCAGAGAAATAAAGAATATGATGTATTCTGGCAACAGCTAATGCGGGAGCCATCTGTTCACTCGTTCACACTGCAAGACAGTTTCATTATTATCCCTGTTATCACATGGACAACAAGATGTGGGCAAAATCACAGAGTAACTCATGATACACTAATGTCAGGATGTCGATAATGTATAAAGATTTACCTTACAAGATTCAAGATGTTTAACAAGATAAAAAAAATTTATTGTTCTGACTTTATTCTAATGTTGCTTTTTTCTGGTGAAATACTAAAAAGCTATATATTTATATGCCCCTAAAAATTACTCCTAAAACACTATACAACTCAGCTTTCAACGGCTAAGCAGGAATATTATTTCTAATTCTGTCTCCGTACAGTATTTGCAGTGTGTGTGCTTGTGTGTGTGTGTGTGTGTCTTGGCTAGATCCCTGTCCTTCCACAACTCCTCCTCTTCCTGTTGAAAGATTAGATGTGCTGTGAACTCTCTGGAATACAGCAGACAGTGTGTGGGTGTTGTGTGTGTTATGTGCATGTGTGTGCCATGCTGGAAAGAGAGGTGGTGTGTGTGATTCCTCAGATTCAGGCAGGGAAAGGTTTTTGTTTTTTTAGCTACATAATAGTTACTGCTGAATCACTCGAGCCTCCTGACTGTAGGGAGATCTAATTTCGGCATACAAACTTTCAGAAAACTTTCCCCCGAATCTCATAATTTTTGCCCTTGAATCACAGAATTCGTTACCTCAAAGCAATATCAGGTTGTTTTTGCAGTTAGGAACTTAATTTTGTCTGGTTGATCTGGTCAGTTAGGAAGGAGCACCCAGAGTTAGCGGGTGTGTTTTAGAGTAAAGTTGCCCCCAAATGACTGAATTCATTCCCTTTTAATTTTAACTATTTAATGTTCAAACCATTTGATTACATTTTTTAAATACTGAAGGAAAATCTAATTAAATCATTATGCCTGTTAGTATAATAACTACAACGAGGCACCGGTTAGCTCACCTGGTAGAGCATGCACACCATAAACAAGGCTTATAACCACCAAGTCCTTATAACCACAGCTGCCCGGGTTCAATCCCATCTCTCTCTCACATCTCCTGTCTCACTCTTCAGCTGTTCTATCAAACAAAAAAGCCAAATAGCCCAAAAATTAAAAGAATAATAATAACTACATCACTGTCTTAGACATGCTGAACTGCCCTCACCTCTTCTACACACACACATTCTCATCATGCTTCCTTCATGGACCCGTCTTAACCTCTGGCTGTTTGAAATGTGAGCACATACACACAAATATCAATGTGACTGAATATGATGTTTGCTGTGGCTGTTGCTGCTGCTGCTGATGTGACAGTCAAATTGCAACAAAACACAGCATCTGATCTCAGCTCATGTCCTTCTCAACTACCACTGACAGAAACATAATGAAGGTTGGTTGAAAAGGCAGCAGTGCCGTGTTTTCTCAATTTTATTTAAGAGGCATAAATGCAGAAACATAGTCAGCAAAAGGAAATCTCCCAGATTTCACACAGGCCACAGCTGAAAACCCACTCAGCAAAGTTGGCCGGATGATCCAGATATTCAGCACATTTAACAATAAAGGATTTGTTAGTTAGGTGGCCACTTGCCCAACACCACCAAAGCCATGTTGTTTAGTGGTTGCACGCCAGGAAATTAAAAACAAATTCAGAGATATTTTTTCACTGGGCACATCTGGTGTAGTAAATCCATATCCTAACCTTCAGCTAAACCGAAAACGATCAATATTGCTTGGCTCTGACCAGCGCTGACACACTGCCACTACATGTTGGGCCTGATGAACATGGGCCTGATGAACATGAGCTGAAACTGATGAGCATAAGCTGCCTCTGACTGCTGCTTACTGGTGATGGCAGACCACTCTGTTGTTTCAGTTATAGCAAAAAAAGTATTTTATCAAATGTAAAGATAAGGTTTAAAGCACTTGGTGGTCTGCAGGAAAGTTATGTTACGTCAAGAAACAGCATGTCTCATCAGCCTAAATGATAAAATGAGGTTCCAATGATGAAAATCAAAGGATGCAGTTGCTGCAGCGCTTCCCATTTATTCATAGCATGACATAAAACTATGAAGGTAAACTCTCAACTGGATTTTGCTCACCTTATGACCCTGTCTGTTAAGGGATGTAGCAAAACGCACAACACTGCAATTAGGAGCACAAAAAACAAGAGAGAAGACATGGAGAAGTGCACTGCAGAGCCCAGTATGTGCTTTCCCCAGACACCAATTTCGTTTTCTCTCTCTCACACGCACACACACTCTCATTTCCTCTTCCTGTGTTGATATCAAATCGCAACAATAGGTGCATTTCAGCAGCTGCTTTGTGCCGCTAATGATGGGAAAATCAGTAACAGCAATTATCATCACCAAATGCCCAACTATTAAATCTCTTGTGGGAACCAAATAGGGACAATGGACGGACTTATCACTTTCAGAGCAAAGGAGGGAGAAGTAAAGAGAGAGAAGAGAAAGGAAAGAGAAAGGAAAGAATGATTATTGTTCATTCAGAGAACAGAAAATAGGAATCGACAGAGATAGTGAACTGACAGACCGGTCCAAAAAGATGATAAATATCTTTTTTTATCAAATCCTGATACTGGTATGGCAAACCGTTTGAATAAAACCAGATAGATAATATTTTAGAGCTCCTCTGCTCCTGTTAATTTTTTTGGTACAAATTTATCATACAGGTATAAATAGGTACTTGAATATTATATGGATGGTATATGGATATTTTTTTATGCCTACATTACTAAAACACACACATTTAATGCATATTCATGTGTTCATTTGTAAAATAAAAAAAGAGCAGCTTCGCACTAAATAGTCAGAGGTCACTTAGAGGCCACTTACAGGTCATTCAACTGACCCCGGTCCCATTGTACAGTGTTTATTTCATCAGAAGTTATTTTTCTTTTCTCCAGAGAAAATCTAGTAATTATAATTAAAAATTTTTGGGAACCACTGCTCTAGACCCCCCGCACAAAAATTAGACTGTCCTCCCATGAAGAACAACTGCATCAGTGCCCCCCAAAAATAGCACAATGTTTGTGCTGAGGTGACATTGTTTCAGAGCGACAAAGTCTGCATAGAGAGGAGGTTAAGGCAGATAGACAGGTCAATAAAACATCGTAATATAACACAAGAGACCGCAGTATGTTTCCTATTTCCAACCGAAAGCATGACCACGACCCTAACCTTAATCACACATTATTTATGATGATGACAAAGGTCCCCTTAAACTTAAAGTTCTAATTTTAACCCAAACCATGACCCTACCTTTCCCTACCATAAAGGTGTCACATCATAAAAAAAAGATTAATTTCTCCACAGTGGTTTGTTGATTTTCCCTGAGATACCACACCCCCAGACCACAAGGCTCTGTCATGTTCACAACTAGCCCCCGACATATAAATGCAGAAGTCAACTGTCAGGAAGTGACAGCATGGAGCACTGTCAGTTAACGCACAGCTAAAGAATACAATATAGCTCAATTCCAAAGCCTAAGAAAGACCAACTTGTACTCTACAATATTACAAATGAAGATACACCGTAAATTGTAAGTCCTCATTGATGGAGCTACAAAAAGTTGAAAGAAAATTCAGGGCTTCAGTTTACTCATCTGCTCATAATACAAAGCAATTATTATGTCTACGCAAAACTGGGTCAATTGAGACAATTCAAATCCATCAATTACACACAAGGACTGCAAATGTTTACAGTTTTGTTTTTACAGAATTTCAGGAAAAATATTACTGACTAAAGCTTTTTAATTACATTACTACTGCTGACTCGACTCCATGGTTCAACAGTGGATTTTACACCGAGGGGGTTTATTTTGAAACAGATGACATGCTAGAAAGGTGAGTCAAGATTTGGATATATAGCAGCTGTGGAAGTGAGTTAATCAGAAACACAACTTGAGACACAACAGAAATCTCAGTGAAACAATTGCACACAGGATTTATTCAGTGAGCTGTAATTTTTGTTCCAAATACACTAAACGTATAGCATGTTAAAAGGTACAATGTGTAAGATCAGGCCAAGACTCTAGTTAAAAACATTCAAAAAGTTAACTGGCATGATCAACAGAATGTGAAGTAGAAACAGCTTTGACATCATGTTAAAGACGTTGTATTGTGTTGCAGAGATTTCTTCTACTCTAAGTTAGCCTGCTAACGAGCTAGCTCCAGCCCGCCCTGTGTTGTAATACCACTTGTACCTCGATATTGCAATAGTGGGTCACTGTAGTGTCCAGTTGGCCCTCAGTCAAACATGAGAGAATGTCAATCAATGCTGCTGCACGAGCTGCTCACTCTCCTTAGCGCTCCTCGACCTCTCATTCCTCCGCTACTGCTACCTTTTTTTTTGTCTCCTGCCACTACTTGAACTTCCGTGTTTCTGACTGGGCAGACTGGGTGTAAAAATATCATTGTCTGGGCACACACTGTTCCCTTTGGGCACTCATTACAGTGTCCTTACAGGGCTCCCTAAGAAATCCATCAGACAGCTGCAGCTGATTCAGAACGCTGCTGCTCGAGTCCTCACTAAGACCAAAAAGGAGGATCCACATCACTCCAGTTCTGAGGTCTTTACATTGGCTTCCTGTATGTCAAAGAATTGATTTCAAAATCCTGCTGTTAGTTTATAAAGCACTAAATGGTTTAGGGCCAAAATACATTTCTGATCTTCTGCTTCGTTACGAACCATCCAGACCTCTCAGGTCGTCTGGGGCAGGTCTGCTTTCTGTCCCCAGAGTCAACTCTAAACAAGGAGAAGCAGCGTTCAGTTATTATGCT